TCCTATAATAAACTGACAACCACCTAAACAATCACCGTGGAAGTGACATGCCCTCAGATTAGCCGCTTTTGCCATGGGCATGCCTCGCTTTAGTTCTGCAAGTACTAGCGCCAGCAATCTGATTGTCTCCCTAGACGATAATTGCTGACTGGTGAGATGACAGTGTGGATAGGATTGTAACCTATGGTAATATGTGCATTTTGTGCCGAGCGGATCCTACTCGCCACGGATAATTCTTTTGGATACATACAGTTATTCAAGAGGTGTTACCGTGAAAAAAAAAACCTCAACAAAGTGCGGAAAATAAAAAATGTGATAAAGAACAAAATGAACAATTTCAAAAATTGAGAAGTTCATGAAATATGATAAATATCAGGTTTTATAATAGATCCATAGCAGATAAGTAGTAAGTCCATAATTAGAAGTTTACAATAACCAGTGAACGAAGAAGACACTTTCGCTGCAAGAATTTACTGTGATGGAATATTTGTTATCTACAGGGTGTCCCAAAAAGATGTGCTTACTGTCTGATTGTTATAACTCTCTTGACGAAATCTTTCGAGAAACTTTAGGTACTGTTTTGTAGAGCTGGCTTTAACTTAGATTTACAGAAACGAGTCATCGCTCTTCGTTATTGTAGGATTACGGTAGAAACTTCAAGCATATGGTGTCACTGTAAAAAAAGCTCTTCAAAAAATTTCAAAAAATGTGAAAACTTGTGTAATAGGATTTTCTTGGACGCTGAGTTCAATAATCAACTATGTACAAGATTACAAAGCTTTCTTAATGGTATAATCGCACTTTTTAGGAGCATTGAAGAAACGGCCGCTAGCTCACCTCGCATAATTTTTAATAGAGCATCATGATAGGTTGCGGACTTCACATTTAGAATCAGCAACTCTAATTAGCCCAGTGTGAAAGTTTTCAAATTGTTTTCTCTCCTTTGTGAGGCAAAATACGGCTTTTCCTGGCTCAGAACCCTTTCAAAATTGCTACCGTAACCTTACACTAATGGAAAGCAGTCGGTTTCGCTTCATACCGTAAATCCAAGTTGAAGACAGCTATACGAGGTAGACTTCATTACAAGAGAGTTATCAACAATCAAACGGTACTCTTTTTGGGAAACCAGGCATTTGAAACTTCTACAGCTGCGATGACAAAGCTAGCACGAATCATGCACTAGAAAAGCCATGTTTCTACTGTTTCAGTTATTGTTGTATCATTTTTGATTTGATGTGCTCGAATGACCAAAACTTGGTTGATCTTCTTCTTGATAATTAGGTCCCCATCTGTATCCAGAAAAAAGTCAAGTTATCCTTGAAAACTACTTAAATTCTTTCAATTTTTCATTTTAGTAAAGAGCTGAAAATTTGTTACTTACAAAGGTCAATACTATGAAATCCATTAGGCCTAAGGCATACCTCACACGATTCCAGTCGCTGCGCGATTTGGTACCGGAACGACTGTTCATAAGTGGTCGTCAAAGCGCTTTCTTAAGGCAGGACTTCATCGGTTTGCAACAAGTTACAGAAGCTACGCGTCCATGTGTTGAAGGACCGTGCACGATAAATTTGGAGATATCTGGCAAAGTGCCAGGTCCGTGAACGTCGCGATTTAGCCGAATCGCGCGAGGTATGCCTTAGGCCTTATATAGGAAAAGCATGGCATTGTTTTGACAAAAGCATGCCATAATCCATTCTCTCTTTTTAGCTATTCTTGAGCAAGGGGAGCCAGTAAAATCCTATTAGACGAGGGTGCAATTTTTAGAATTTCTCGGGCCTCGAGCGCCTTCTAAATTTTCCATTCAAACTTCAAATAAATCGTACTTGATGCGAATATGAAATTTCCTTCTTTATAGATTGCTTTGCTTTATCGCATGGTAGCATTAATTTCTTTGTTTATTATGCAACGATATTGCAAGATCTCCAATGATCATATCACACGATGCGATTATTTATCAGACAAGCTGATGGCTTTTAGAAAATCTTGTCGTTTCGCAAAGCCCGTAGTTTTCTTTTATGTTGTTCTACTCTCAGACTACCAACACTTTTGGAAATAGGAAAAAACTTTTTTTTGTTTTTGATCTTTCCAATCCGCTGATCCAACGACACCATTGCGACATACAAGTCCATAAATAATAACAACAATCCTTTAGGGCCATCATCTTCCTACAAGATGTACCCCCACATCACTCCGGAGGAGACAATACAATCAGAGCGGTCCTTGTAAATAAGGCGGTATGTTGTAATTGTTTGACGATAGCAATAAAGGACACTTTGGGAAACTTATTTGATTTGACTATAGCCGGAGGGAGTTCACATTTGCCGGCGGATATACGATAATGCTTTGTTTGGACATGCTATGGATTTTTTGAAAAAGTGTATTCAGGAGAATGTCATAATTTTGTAAGAAAACTCTAGTAAAAAAGTGTCTGAAAAATAAAATCAGTTTAGCCGCGGGCTGCTCAGTATGTTTCTGTTCAAGTTTCAGCAAAAAAAAATGAAATTCATAATTCATCTTTTTTTTAATTTCATTGCATTTATCCAAAATCAATAGAAAAAAATGAGCTGTTGTCAATCTGGTTTGATTTAGCTCAAAAATATCCAACTTCAAAATTTTGTCCTTCATTCTTTCAGCATAAATGGAAAAACTGTTGCTTACCAGTTCCATATAAAACTGTAAGTGTATATTCAAAGCCCAGGACGTTGTTTCTATGGCTGAACTATCTGCTATTTACAAAAATTGATCTTTATGGCCCAGTTTCTTTGAGGCATAAATCATGAGCCTGGAAAGAAACTCAGAGAATTTGAAGCTTGCTGATTTTGCTGTCGCAGTAAACAACTCGCATCAATAAGGTAAAAGTGTTACTATGACATAAGAGTTGTTCTGAAAATATTCGATTTCTATAGAACTGACAAGGGAAGGATACTTGGTCGAAGTGGTGTTTCCATACAAATGTGAACTGTTTAATAGAGAATGGAACGCTGATTCCGAATCTGCTTTAGGTATCTGCAAAGCGCTTCTGTGAGGGGAGTTATGGAAACTTTTTGGTGCACAAATTTCGAGACGCAGCTACAAAAAAATCTTTCAGAACTGTAGTCTGTGGGCCTTGAGGGGATCGCGATTACTGTCAGGGCGCTTCTTGCAGTCAACACTTTTCATTCTTATAAAGTTAAGCTAGTCATTACTCCATTCAAGCACCGAAAAGATCTGAATACTGGTTTTGCCTTAATCAAAACCTTAAATTTTTGCCTCAAAAAACTCTCATAACTCCCATCACAAAAGCGCTTTGCAGATACCGAAAGCAGATTCGGAATCAGCGTTCCATGCTCTCTAGGTTAGTATATATTTGCTATGAAAACTCTACTTTGACCAAGTATCCTTCCCTTGTGAGTATTGTAGATCGTTTCCGAGATCACAACCACTATCAATATCTTGATTTCGCGCCTGTATCGATAATAGTCAGACATCCGTCTGATTGTTTTTGTGACACATTTTGCTTCCTTTACAAGTACCTCGTATTTTAACACTTGATTCTTATAAAATGATATATGAGTAATTAAAACTGGTTATAATTTTGTGTGAAGTATGAGAACTTATCTTTTCCTAAAATAGTCTGCTGCATAAGAAGGTTTCCTCTTCCATCTTTCATCACATAATTGGATTTTTTGAAATGTTGGATTTTGCTTTGATGCTTTCAAATACTGATCGTCGGCTTAGATTGCCCTTCTTCACTGTCTAGAATGTACTATCATCTGATTGCTTGAGCTTTATTATTAGTAATTACTAGCACTAAGCACAAAATGAATTTTGCTACCTTAAGGGCCCGGCATACTTCACGCGATTTCAGTCGCGACCCGATTTGGCCATATTCCAACTATCCATAACTCATTGTAAGCCCATTTTGAATGTACAGAAGATAGGGTATTTCATCAATTTACGTAAGTTATACACACTATGCTTGTGCAGTTTGCCAGTGTTGGATCTGAAGACTTCTGGCAAACTGCCAAATCGCATCGCGACTGAAATCGCCTGCAGTATGACTGGCCCTTTAGGGGAAGAATTTTAGTGTTGCAAATTCGTTTCACTCCAGTTTCCTTGAAAAAGTCGCGAAAATACTTTCAAATTGGCCTAAACGAGTTGAGAAATTCATGGTTCAAAAAAATGCGAGTCATTCGTCTCCAATTACAGACAATTGTATCACTTTATGAATTCGAAAAAAATCACATGACCATTTCTGAGAAATTTGGGAAGCTCAAAAGAATTTCAGAAAATAAGCAGTTCTATCTTAAGAAAAAGAAATTTTGTAATCCCTTCTTGACAGTATTTTTCTGCATTCGCCCTGAGACGCAGTTATTGATACATCTTCTTCGTTTTATCATTTTGAAAGTTTCTTTGAAGAATTTTTATAGATAGAAAAAAGATTTTGAGTTTAAATTTTGGTACAGATTCCCGACCATTTTCGGTGCTGATTACTGGCTCATTATCCCAGTTTTGGAACATTCCTAAGATCAACTATAGGATATCTCCATTGTTGATAGAGTTCAAAAAACATGGAAAAAAAACATGCCTCGGAAAAAATCACTCATTAACGATAGGCTATGTCATGGCAAGGTCAGCAAATGTCGGTCGTCTTTCTAAGTGATACTAGTGATAGTGAACCCCAATGAGGGTGTTTATATCTTATCCGGGACCATTTCACACCTTGTTAACTAAAGTCCACGAGTTGGGTGCATGCCCCTCGGCAGGAGTAGTGGGCGGAGCGCGAGCCGGGCGAGAGATGGTCCCGTATGGGGAGGGCATGGGAGAGGTGCGAAAATAGTTTCAGGGCATATTGGGCGTTTCTCGAGGGGATTTTTGGGGCGGTGCTGGGACTGTACGACAATTAGAACATTTTATATAGTGCAGTCCATGCCAACTGGCTTTTTTTCTCTTTTTTTTGCTATGGGAGACTCACGGTAAATTTCCTGAGCAAAGCGTTTTTTTCCAGATTTCTGAGAATGTCCGGTGATTTGTCTTTAAGTCCTAACCGTCCATCGATGAATAATCGAAAACGTCCACTAGCAGATGCTTCTTCGGAACTGAATACTCCCAAACGGGAATATTACCCGCATTTTCAACCCTACCCGTACATGAATATGGTAAGTTCACTTTCAAATCTCCAAAACGATTCATAAAATTTTTTTATAGATAACTCCTCCACCAATGTTCCAATCAACCCCATTCACCATGCGAAACGATGAAAATCAACCTCCTCCGCATTTCATGGAATATTGCCCACCGGTTGGTTTACAGTAACCCGCCACATTACAGTACCCAGCCACGGCTATTGAAAAGTCAAAAATAATTACAGATGCCATTCCCACCCTACACACCATTCAGCTGTCCATCGGCTAATTCATCTACATTGTCGAACTCTTCCAGCAATGATTCGGGAATCAGTAAGTATAAACTGATTTTTCAAATTATCATTTGCAAGAATTGTTAGGAATCCTGACCAGACTTGAGCTTCGTTTATTTTCGGAATTATCCTTCGTAAATTTATTCATCTATATTTGCAATCGCTTAGCTGTTACTACATAGTAAACAAAAAATTCCATTTTGTTCTTGAATATGATGATGATCTTCATTGTTCATTCTCTCTATTTGACAAGTCACTTGTCAATATTTCTTCTGTGTAGGTACAAGATTACTAAAGCGTTTTTCTTTATCTGTTAATGAATGTAAAATTCTAGGTGGTGGTAGTGCCTCATCGAGCTGTGAAAACTCTCCATCGACGTCATCTGAACCGAAGTCGAAGGACGATGAAGTGCTTTTTCAAGTGCCCAGTCGACTAAATCATATCAGCAAAAATAAAGTGAGCCGCCTATTTAACTCAATATATCGATCGAAATAATTTGAAAAAATATACCAAAGTCTATGAAAGTATAGTTTGCGTATTCAAGCTAGATTTTTATCATATTTCAACTTTTTGCGAATCAATCATTATCGGAGAATTCATTTTCAAAAAGTATGGACCGACTTAAACAGTTTTCTTCGTTCGGAGGAAAAGATTTCACATAGTAAATTTTTCTGCTATTTTATCCACATAGAAGAAAATTCTCACGCTTGAATGACATCTACTTGCAGAAATAAATTTTCTTTAGTTTAGTGATGTCTGCTACTCCGAGAAGAGTTGTTAATTCCCGTGTTTTTAGGTAACCCTCGCTGAATTGAAACGACGGATTGCACCTCCAGAATGCCTAAATAGCAGCTTCCTCGGCATCTACCTCAGACTGTCCGCATCTTCCTTTGTTTAATTTTTTCTTTTTTCTTTCAGGGTTCCATTCCGACGTCGGGCCTAGAAATTTGACCGGCTACTGATATAAAATTGCAATTGAAATTTGAACCATTTTTTATCCGTTTGTTTTCAGGGCAAAAACCAAAGAAGTTGGTAAGGAATTGCGGGACAATCTAGCAAAACATGGAATCTCACTGCCATCTGGCCGACGAAAAGGACTTCAGAATACTGTATTCACTTGTCTTGTTGAGGGTATGGAGTCAAATTTTTCTACCGCACATGGAAATTAGTCATTATTTTTTAGAAGAAGCAACTCAACTCGGACGTGATATGCATACTCTAGTCCAACAACACTATCCCGTCAGGCCACTGATTGATATGGCTGCACGCAAGTCGATCAGCCATCCAGAGGAAAGGCAGAGGGATCTAATTGGAGCGATGTGAGTTAAAGTTTGTACAGTAGCGGTGTTATGCTGAACAAGCCTCGAAAATGGTAAATTCAAGGTTTGCTGATTATCCGCACCTAGCCTGAGACTGATTTTTTCTTATTTTACGTTTAACATCTTTTTCTTCCTTTTCTTGCCATTCTTGAATATATTATGCTAACAGCCTTCTTTTGGTCTTTCATAAAATTGTTCTCAGGCATTTCCAGATAAGGAGCGCAATTGATCATTTTTTTCTCAGGGAGGAAAATCTCTGGCACAGTTCACTAAAAATTGGTAACCAGTTGAAAATACCTTTTAATATGTGGTTTGAGTATTTTGTCATAGGATTAAATTAATTTTGTTGAAAACGGCGAGTCTTGCGTTTGTTTGTTGCGAGTTTACTGCATCTTCAGAACTTCGTTAATTACTAACGTATGATCTTGGATAGCATGAATTATTTTCCGGACCGAGACCAGTTCTCGTCCTTCATGCCCTCCCCTCATCCTCCTCCATTACAACAGCAGATGTTTCCTACTTTAGCTAACCCAAAGCTTTTCAAATTTTTTTACTAACCATAAGAATTAAAGTATTGCTTGATTGGCTCGTGCCATTCTGGCTAAGAGATTGAACTATTTGACCAAACTGATATTTGAAAAGCTGATTCAAAAACTGCTTTTCTTTTTTGTTTCTTTTGTGGTATTGGCGCACTTTTCTAATAACAGATTAGTAAAAACTCGTGGGCGACCTCGTTGACACTCCCAAAGCAAAAAGTTCTCCTCAAGAACTCAATATTACGTTATTGTTAACTACGATGACAAAATCCTTCTGAACCTTAAAGAAAAAAATTTGCTTGAATACGGTTTCAATAAATATTTTTTTCAGAAGAATTCTTGACGAATTGAACACCATGTTCAATGAACTCCAAACTCCGCTATCCACTCGAATTTGTAACAATGTACCCATTCACAACGAACTGGAAGTTGGAATGAATCACTTCAGCTTGGTAAGATAATTCTGTTTAGATTGAACTGTAAAATAAAGCGCAATGTTGTTTTTTTAGATCACGCATACCTTTGGCCCAATAAATCAATCTACCTGGTGCAATGCATTTTTAAATTATGCCAAAATGTCACTGGCAATGTATCAAAACCGAATGGAACCTGCAAATCCACAGGTAATTGTTTGATCTTCGTTCAAATGTCGCCAAAAACATTACTATATTTTTTCAGTATAATCAATGAAGCTGAAAACATATTTTAAACACTTATTTATGGTACCTGATTGAAGGATCTCTTGCAAACAAATCATAAGTTTTATTGTTGAGTATTTTATTAGCTCTAGATTTCGATACGGATTTGATCTTCCAAAAAGTTGACCTCGGTTGTGAATTATTTATAACTAGTGTGCTGATTGTATATTTTAGTGCAGCTCAGAGAATTTAGGTTAATAAGTTTATAGATAATAAACTATGTGCCCGTTTCATCTTAAGATGTGTATATAGCCATATTATGATAAAAGTATTTTGAAACTGCTGTTATTAACGTGTTACGGAATGCCTAGAGGACAGAATATGCTTTCCAAAAGAAATTCCCAGTTCTAAAAAAACAACTTCAGCAAACCATCAGCTCCATGGAAAACAAAACGTAGGTGAGTACTTTTAGGAGTTCCAAGAATATTGTGACCGCAAAAGATGACAGAGAATAATCGTAGTCTTTAGAAAAGGGAAAAATCTTGTGAAGACTGCGTGAACTAACCTCTGAGTGTACCAAACGAACTGAAAAAGCTTATAGTATGAATTTTTGACTGTCTCTCACGATTCCCCGATCTCTGCTCAAGAACTGATTCTTCAGTTTTACAACTGCGGAGCCAGCCCAAACTGGCAAAAAGGATAGCCTCTTGTCACCCTTCTGCCCACAGTTTGTAGAGGGCACTAGTTTCGTAAAAGCTTGATGAGTAAAATAAAGCCCTAATGTGTTATAAGAAGGGCTAATTTTTTTAGTTCTGAGGTAGATACCAAAGACGGACTGAGGAGGGGAGGGGGGCTGAAAGTCACTTACATAGATTATGAAGATGTGCAAGTGATTTGTTTGAACCTGTAAATAATTAATATAATTTTTGAAATTTTTCTAAAGTCCATGGTCTTGTGAAACAAGTTTTCGTGGGTGTGGCTGGCCCCACTCCCCTAGGAGCCAAAAATTTCGTGAAGCATTAGAAAAATTTCTTCGTCCCTCCCTTCACCGAGCGGAAATCCTGGGACCGCCACTGGGAGAAACCAATTTCGCTAACGTGCGATACAGGTGCAATTCTTGTAAATTGATTATATTAATGGAGAGAGGCCAAAGGAATAATCTTTGCCTTGGAATAGTACGAGCAACTTCCGAGAAAAATTCTTGGAATTCTAGTTAGTTCTCATTTATTTCATTGTTCTACCCTAGATACATTTTGAAAATCCATAGAGATTTTTCTCGACATTACTTTGGATAGTCAGCCAGCTCTGGATAAAGAATTTGTAATTTATATGTGATCTATGAGTGGAACGATTGTGCTTTGCTATCAGTCCATCCAGTTGTTACCAATAGGGAGCCGTCTTTTTAGACATTTTCACCGCTGCCTTCAGCTCTTGCCATTTCTTTAGTTGCCCTAAAAACAGCTACCTTATTGTGAAACAGAAAACTAGGACATCTTATATATAAAGCTGAATGTCTGTTTGTCTGTATGTCTGTCTGTATGTATGTATGTATGTATATACGTATGTTCCGAATAGAAAATTCCATTTCTGAACCGATCGGGACCAAACTTGGCACACATACACTTCGGGCCCCGGCGGGTGTCATAGGCTACTTTTCGTATCGATCGATATCGATTTTATCGATTTTTTGCAAAATTTGAGCCACGGGGCTGGGATTTGGCACAGGGGGGTAATCGAGCATGCCATGCTCGATTACACCCCTCTGCCAAATTTCAGCCCCCTAGCTCAAATTTTGCAAAAAATCGAAAAAATCGATAAAAGTAATGCACGGTCTCGAAAACTAATATTGTATTCGTAATCAGCATGCTCGATTATCCCCCTGTGCCAAATCCCAGCCCCCTAGCTCAAATTTTGCAAAAAATTGATAAAATCGACATCGATCGATAACGAAAAGTGGACTGTGACACCCGCCGGGGCCCAAAGTGTATGTGTGCCAAGTTTGATCCGGATCGGTTAAGAAATGGAATTTTCTATTCGGAACATACGGCGGAGCCGGGTAAGCCAGCTAGTAGACTATAAACTAGGACATAGACTATTCATAAAGTGAGCGAGTAAAATTTTATAGGTACCTTCAGCCTGACAGCTAATCAGATGGACATATAAAATTCGTGCACAGATTACCACTTACCTAAGTAACGAGACAGATCGCTAGACATACTGCTAATCAAATTGATGACCTGATCAATCCCATCATCATCCATGTTTTTCGAACAAATTGAGCGATTTTTCTCCACCCAGTAGGTCATACTCTGAAATTTCAAAAGAAAAAGTTTTGGGGAAAAATGCTCTGACCTTCTTGACACAGGTCTGTCGCTAACCTTATCAAAAAGATAACAGCTAAAGAGAGCATCATTTTTCGCAGCTGCAAGGACTGAGACTAGCATCTCGTTCGTTGGACCAGAGTTTTCACCTTCTTTAGCAAATTCTCTCACTCTGAAAGATAAAAATGAGACAAATGCGGAATTCTTCGGTAGAGCATACCCGTTAGCAAATCGAAGATTATTGATTGTTTGTTTGCAGGAGGATATTCCTGGATTGACTGTAGCAATCTATAAAAACTCTTTATAACGCATATTTCGACAAAAACAAAAAATGTTTGCAAAAATCTTAAGCCATCATCATGACTACTCTTCAAAAACATAAACCATAGTCGAAACTGTGATTTATCGAGTAATTAGCAACTTAATGCTCGTATTGCACACCATACGCGCTACTCTACGACCTGTAGGGCCAAAAACATGCTCAATTCCAATGATTTCTCCTTATTTCATAGCCTTTTTTGGTTTAATTACTTATGCGGTAGTTGGTGCACATTTCTACAGTTCGCTACGCTAAGAAAAGGTTTCACTGAGGAGTTTTTTCTAAAGAGATGTCGTCGGTTGCCGCGCATAGTGTGCAAACTCACATAATACAAACGATTCGACGATATGCATGGGCTGAACGAAACTTACCATACAAATACGCGCATTTGGTTTCAATAACAAATCTCGCAAAAGCAACGTAAGCTTGGAAGCCCGAAACGGTACGTATTGACTATTACTGGCCATCGCTCGCAAACATTCCTGAAACACTATTCGAAAAAATTTGCGGAACAATGAAAAAATATTCCTAGTTATACCTTCAAGGCAAACAGGGATTCACAGACTTCTGATTCTTTCATTTGGGTTTGCCTATCGGATTTAGCTAAATCGTCACGACTGTCACTAGCTAGATCTATCAGTGAGAATTTGCCCCAAAGTTTGCGATTCCTGAAAACTAGTTATCATTGGTAGTCTGCCCTGTTTTCCCACGTGCACATTTTGAGATCATAATACATATCCTGGAAGCGGATCCAGGCGCTAGATTGTAGGCAAGAGATTGTAAGCGTTTGTCCGAATTATGGAGAACCATAGCATTTGACTTCAATCGTCAGCAGTCACGGTTCTGAAGATTCAAATTCGCCTGGTGGCTACTAATAACTATTCTGTTCGCCGTCCTGAAAAAGTAGATCCACGAAGGGTGCCCTTAAAAATACGTTCGTTGTCGCTTGGACGCAGCGTTAGTAGGCTTCGTCTTCACTCGTGTGCCAGCGCCGTGCCAACGCCACGCAGCTTCATGCCAGCGCGGGGCCGACTTGCCGCATCCCATTTGCGCTCCGTATAGATTGATCAAAGTTTCGGCACGGCACTAGCACAGCATTGGAACCTGGCGCGAGCGACTCTGGAACACTGGACACAGCCGAAGGTTGGCAAAAAAGGTCCTTTCCGTTCCTCGCTCATAATCAGGTCGCGTTTACCATGGGCTCCACCTCCATTCGAACCAGACTTTAACTGTAAATCAACAAAAGCGAAAAAACCTAACCTCTTCAATATTATTTGGAATACTGCATGAGAGTTCCTCGATTGGTGTGCAGAGTTTGATTCTACGGCGCGCATTTCCGTACCTTGCTTCAACAGATGGAGGACCTGACAAAAATTCAGTAACAGAAAGCGGCATATAAATGCCTTTAGAATTTAAGCTTTTGCTGAATAAAATTTAAGCCAAAAGGCTCAAACTTACATCATCTTTACAGTGTATTGGAACTTCTTCTAATCCAACAAGTTGCACTTTTTTCCTACCATTCTCAATCATTCGTACTGTTGCTTTTTTATTCAGCAGATCAAGTACCCAAAATTATGGTGTTCTAGTGATTTTATTTCCGCATATATACTATACCTTCTCGCCATAAATTTCATAGAAACTGCAACTGACAGTGAGACCCAGGTTCTTGTAATCCTCAGAGTCTTGCATCTCTAGAACGTCGCTAGCGCTCATAGCATACATACTACTAGCGTAATTCTAGATAGGATATATAATTAAGAATTTCGTTGTGGTTGCATTCAGAGTTTCCCGTGCCAGCGACACCAGCGCCGTGCCGGAGCAAGGCGCTGGGATGGTGCTAGAACGGCGCTGGCACAGCACCGGCACATCTTCGGCACAGGTGCGACTCTGAGTCGCAGCTACCTCATGAAAATTACCTGATTTCCATTTGTGAGATCTCCGCTCATAGTGTACGTCTTGCCTGAACCTCTTTGCCCACAGGCAAAACATGCAGCAAAGCCTTGCTTAAAAATGGTTTTTACCAATGGTTGTGCAGTCGATCTAAAATAGCTTTCTGGATTAATAAACACTAGAAAACACTAGATTACGAACTGACTTGTAGACAGTTTCATTGGAAGCGATTTCGTCAAAAATGTGATCGAATTGAAACTTGTGCATCTTGACGTGCTTTGTGAGATCGAGTTTGATTCGAGGTTGTTCGACGATTACACAGTTATGACTGGGGATTGCTACAACCTAGAAATGAACACTATTTCAATTTTTCGGCGCACCATTTGCCATTATAATTTCTGTCTATGGGCATTCCAAACCCAGCAGAAGATTTTCGACGGACCAAACATGAGTGGCATTTTTAATCAATAAGTACGCGTTTCAGCGCGGCGATATGGTAGATTTACGGTGTACCATCCCAATTCAGCTCTACACTAAGACTGCTTTTCATTAGTAATTCTAAATTAGTTAACCTCCTGTGCAAATCTTAGCCGGGGCTCGCCACAGGTGGCTTACGGAGCGAGCTGGATATCGTTTAGGGGGTAAAAGCAAAGAGGATATCGTTTATGCTCAGACAATCAAAGGCTATCAGCGGGCAGTCACAAAGCCACCGCCAAGCCCCACCAAAAGCGCCGTGGCCTTATCGCCTCACTGTCGCTTCCCGCTGAGAACCATGTCAGAACTGGCAGCGAGCGGGCTGCTATAACCGCCGCTTTCGCTTCGCGCTGAAAACTTTATAGGGTTGTTTCATACTGCCGCACTGACTGCAGCAGTCTGCACTGACCGCAGCAGACTGCAGCAGACTGCAGCTGACTGCACTGACTGCAGCAGACTGCAGCTGACTGCAGCTGACCGCGCTGGCCGCACCGGTCGCAGCCTCTTTTTTTAAAAGAAAACGACCGCGATTACCAAAACAGCGTGATTTACGCATAAGAAGATAAGTTCCATCAGAATTCTTCTCAATCAAATTTTGGCGACAGTTTTCTTTGGTATGTTCGTATTTGTTCTTATTCTTCCTATCATTGCATATACCTGTTTTGAACATTCTAAACCTTTTTGTCTTTTGCTTCTACATATATATTGTTGTTGTTTGTTTAAACCACAACTATTTATCCTCTCCGCCTGCAGGCTTCAGCCGCTGCGGTCGTTGCAGTCAGTGCGGTCAGCTGCAGTCAGCTGCAGTCTGCTGCAGTCTGCTGCGGCCAGTGCAGACTGCTGCAGTGAGTGCGGCAGTATGAAACAACCCTATAAAGTCTTCAGCGCAAAGCGAAAGCGGCGGTTATAGCAGCCCGCTCGCTGCCAGTTCTGACACGGTCCTCAGCGGGAAGCGGCAGTGAGGCGATAAGGCCACGACGCTTTTGGTGGGTTTTGGCGCTGGGTTTGTGGCTGCCCACGATAGCCTTTGATTGTCGGAGTCGGCATCCGGGGCGGAGCCCGTAAAACAAAAATGCATTAATTTAGAATGGTGTTTACACGAAAAATAGGTAGCTTAGTTGGAATCTCAGAATTGGAAAAATTTCTCAGAAAACTTTCTGATCAGTAAGGCTTTTATATGAAAGTGACAAAGGAAAAGTCCAAGAATTTGGCCAACTTCATGCCCATATACTGTCGAGTCCTTTCATATGATCATGTGTGTCAGTGCACATATTGCCTACATTTGGCGTCCTCATCCTGGATTTTAGAACAGATGGCTCTTCTGCTAAGTGTTTCTTTGGTGTGTACCAAGTGAATTAGGGTAGACGAAGTTGTGTGGAATATTTATTCACACTGGCGTAGATTAGTTGAGAGCGATCATCGAGGTGTCCCGGTGTGGACCGGGGAGCAACCTCTAATACCTTCGGAGGCTCCTTATATAGGAAGAAAGGCGGAGCCAAACCGAATACAAGGTACAAAGTATACGAGTTGGTGCTTAAAAGGAGATGCCGCCGATTGGCTACACTCCTGGCGCACAGGTACCACTCACTCTTGAGTGATTAGATACTCGAGAGTGAGTAGCTCACCATTTAGCCTACGGGGATCCCGTAGGCTATACAGATTATAGAGTTCATCAATGGTTGATGATCCAGAAATCATCAACACTCCGGGCGAGCGAGAGGAAAGTGAGATCAGGTAAGATCTTGATCAGTGTAGACACATGTGAGGTTGACTAGTAAGTTAGTGAGCATTATGTATACAGAAAAACGATCTTGAATAAGAGCTGCAAATAATGTTAACATTCACACGAAATTAATTCAATTCACAATATATGCACAATGGTATGATCAGTTGAGGTGGTTGATGGAGGCGAATTTCGTTTTGGCATTGCTCGTCGTCGTCGCCTTTTCCTCTTCGTCATTGATTTTGAATTGATAGTAGAAGCATTATTGACGGTCATATTCTCGGTAGGCGCCGTTTTGATAAGGCGTGAACTTCTGTGATGTCTGCCCTTTGTCATCCTTGTCTCTGCTTGCTTCCTAAGATACGGCGAGGTAGTGGTCATTCCATTCGACATCATCGCAGAGCCATCGGAAGAGTTTGATAGGGAACGGATTGTGTTCAGCCAATGTTGTCTGTCTGCTTGAGCTTCACGGAAGATGGAAGCTCTGAGCGTCTGCCTCATTTTTCTGGGTTGTCTTCCTTTAGATGAAAGAAACTGTTGTAGTTTTGTTGGCGGAGATGTTTCCTGTAGCGTTGATATGCAACCGAAGGTACCAACGGATCTTGCTGTAGTGGCGGTGCGACTTGTTCCTGATATGACGTATCCGAAGATTGTTGGGGTCAAAATGAGCCCTGAGGGGAGCGTGAGCACTCTCTCATTTCGAAGGATGACAAGATTTATGAGGTCTTGCCCGATGATCAGGTCCGGTAGAAGGCTTTTGTGAGAGAGCGTATCCTGAGCAATCATCAGCTTTCCGTCTTCGATGAAACGCAAGTCGGCCTCCGTGAGGCTTGCCGTCTGCATATCGGTAGTCAGCTTCTGCTTTGTATGCAATGACAACTTCTTGAGCTTCTCGGAGCTGTGAAGACTCTTCAAAGTGATTTGCACTTCAGATGAGTTGAATTGCCCTTGTTGTTCGCCCATTCCAGATGTAGTGAGCAAAGTAGTTCGAAGGACTGGAAGTTTCAGTTCTTCACAGAGTCCTGATCTAATGAAGCTTCGTTGTGCTCCGGAGTCAAGGATTATAGACGTTGGTTGGTAATCCCACTCTGCTTCGTTGAAAATCAATGCTGAGGCGATTTGAAGAACGCACTATTGTGCGCAAGTGGAAGTAGGTCTGAGATGTGGACTCCTTGTTTATTCTCCGAGCCTTGTACGACGTGCATGTTACTGATCTCGTGACAATTTTGGTTGGTGTCACGTTGTGTCCAAGGAGGTGAATGTTGATGATTGTCGACTGCAGGATTGCGGGATTGTGCGAAGAATCCACTGCGTTGTCCTTCTTCTGGCATGCAAAGAGATCCGTGGTGCGATCCCTGGCATTTAGGGCATACTCCAAAATTCGTACAAGCGTTTGAGTCGTGGTTTCTTAGGAAGCATCTCCAGCACGCTTCTTGGTTTGTTGCTTCAAGTCGTCGAGCTTCTGGAGTGCTGTATCTCTGGCAGGTATATGGCGAATGTGGTTGTCCACATAAACACAAGCGTCTTGGTTTTGAAAGATGTTCTTTTCCTTCGCATCTGGTAATCCTTTCATTTTCTTGGTTCTTCGAGTTGTAGTCGGTTGGAAAGAGAGTTTCCGTAGTTAGCAAGATTGTCTCTCGCAATGATATGATGTTGTCGATAGCGTTTAGGATTTCGCTAACGTCGAATGAATCATCTTGTACAGCTTCCTTTTGAATGGCGGTCGCACATATGGATTCGGGAAACTTGGAGAAGATTATTCGGCGCCAAACTCTGTCTGCGTTCATCTTCGTTCCCGTTTGTTCCAGGTGAATGATCCTCGAGTAGATGGCTTCGAAGGTGTCTCGGCAACTTTCCGGATCATCTGAGGCTCTGGGTAGTTTTTCGATCTCGTTTATGAGTATGTCCGCCATGTTGGCAGAGCGATCGAAATGTTTCTTCAAGATATCTATCGCTGTCTGATATCTTTCTCCGACGACGGGTATGCAACTCAAGGTTGCTGCTGCTTTTCCTTTCAGGGCTTCTTTCAGGAACAAGAATTTGTCCGTGTCGGATATTTCCTCGTCATTGTGGATGAGAGATTCGAATAATGTCCAAAAGCTGTTGAACTCTCGGAAATTGCCTGAGAACGTCGGAATTTCAAGCATGGGCTTCCGAATTTTGATCTGCCTTTCGTTGCGTTCCGGAGTTCCAGCTTGCCCAACTTCGCTACTTGGCTGACTCGATATGCTCGGAGTACTGCAGTGCACAAGCGCACTTTGTTCCTTGAGTTCATGTTGTCGGAACTGGATCCTGTTCTGCCACTGTACTGTCATGACCTCCAGAGGAAGAGACTCTAACTCGAGGTGTTTGCTGAGTTCAGTCATCAGCTTTTCTCTCTCTTTTTCCTCGTTTCTTGAGCCGACATATTCAATTGCGGCATTTACTTGAGTGTCTTGAAGCCTGACGGCATTTTGGAGAGAATTGAGCAAATGCGTGATTTCTCCCATTTTCCTTTTGATGTATGTTTCGCATTCAGTCTTGTCCACAGGAAAAGTGAATGGTGTGTCAATTTTATTCACTTCCGACTCGTATGATTTCACAAGTGCGCAGGCATTGTTGATTTTCGATTTGAAGATTTGGAGCGCTGCCATTTTTGTATCGCACAAAGTTGTGTTCGGTGCTTCCGTTGAGTGCTGATGGCGAGCGTCGCAACGTGAGATGCGTATCCTCGTTGTAGACTTTAGAGGACGACAGCAAGGCTGGCCTCTTGTAATAGCTGTCCTTACTGGGTGCAAGGAAGCCTTCTAGTGAGCTGGCAATTGAGTGCCGAGCTTCTACTAGCTGTCAGCAAGCGTGCCTGGTTGGCTTGTACGCTGTACTGGACGGTGAGGTGTGTTGAACCTGTACCGTGAGGATTGATAGCAATTTGCTTAAGTTCTGGGTGAACTTTAAACTTGTTAGCTATTGCCAACTGGTCCTTTACTGATCTCTGGTCGTCTTACGTAAAAAGAGCACAGAGATGTTCAATTTGCAGTGTTTGTCTAACCAAATGACGCTTTTACTAACTTCTGGTCGTCTTACGAAAAGAGAGCTCAGAAGAGTTCAATTAATCGATGGTGAGAAGTTCTTCAACCGGGGCTTTCACTACTTTCTGGTCGTCTTACGGGAAGAGAGCTCAGAAAGGTTCAATTAACCGGTGAGAATTCTTGAGCTGACGCTTTTACTAACTTCTGGTCGTCTCACGAAGAGAGAGCTCAGAAGGTTTCAATTGATCAGTGATTTTCTGCCAACTAACGCTTTTACTACCTTCTGGTCGTCTCACGAAGAGAGAGCTTAGAAGGGTTCAATTAATTAGTGGAGAAGTATTCAGCTGGGGCTTTTACTACCTTCTGGTCGTCTCACGAAGAGAGAGCTCAGAGGAGTTCAATTGACCAGTGAAATTTCTTCGGTTGACGCTTTTACTACCTTCTGGTCGTCTCACGAAGAGAGAGCTCAGAGGGGTTCAATTAATCAGTGAAGAAGCCTGCCAACTAACGCTTTTACTAACTTCTGGTCGTCTCACGAAGAGAGAGCTCAGAAGGGTTCAATTAATTAGTGGAGTGTCTGCCACGCGGGTCTTAGGCCTTGAATTCCCGTTCCTTAGGTAAAGGAGTCGCTCAGGAATTGCAAGGAAGTTCACTGGCCGATGCACCAATTTGGTGTGTACCAAGTGAATTAGGGTAGACGAAGTTGTGTGGAATATTTATTCACACTGGCGTAGATTAGTTGAGAGCGATCATCGAGGTGTCCCGGTGTGGACCGGGGAGCAACCTCTAATACCTTCGGAGGCTCCTTATATAGGAAGAAAGGCGGAGCCAAACCGAATACAAGGTACAAAGTATACGAGTTGGTGCTTAAAAGGAGATGCCGCCGATTGGCTACACTCCTGGCGCACAGGTACCACTCACTCTTGAGTGATTAGATACTCGAGAGTGAGTAGCTCACCATTTAGCCTACGGGGATCCCGTAGGCTATACAGATTATAGAGTTCATCAATGGTTGATGATTCAGAAATCATCAACAGTTTCCGATGTTTTTTTTCATGCTTTTTCTCCTTTTTGGGTACCAATTTTCAAGTAATGTAAGCGGTAACAATCGGTCGGTCTCTCGCGTTTTTGAGATTGCAATTTCAGGATGAGGACGCCATTTTTGGAGGATGTGTGCAGTGACACACGTGATTATATGAAATGATTCAACTGTTCACAACATTTGCTTTCCCACCTCCCCCCTCCTCTTCCCCCTTCTGAGAAACAAAACCTACCCCACTGTTATTGTTGTACTACACATGATACACGTACACACAGCCAAGTTTCATCTCACCATCTTCTGAAGATCTTGCATGCGCTCATCATTGTCCTACTGTTCCATTTCTGCGCGGCTAAAATATGCTCTGCAAGCGCGGCAATTCAAAATGCCCCGATTCAAACAACGTACTTGTTTACAGCGAAGAGGAGACGACATGACATCAAAATCGGTGTGTAGATGCGCAGTAGGGAGTTGGAGCTATATGTAAAATATTTGGAAACTTATGTGAACTGAAGACATGGCAAACTTTTTTTTTGAAGTTAGGTGGCTTTCAAGCACCTGGGGAGCCCCACCTGAGGTGGCTTACAAGGGAAGTCCGATCAGTTGAAGTGGCCTTTCCAAATGAGTCTCATGCCCCTTTGAAGAGCATCAAACAGTGACTCCAAATCTGACTTCATCATCTGCCGAGCGCCTCTGCATGCCCAATTGTGAATATTTTTTTGGTGCGGAAAATCAACACATAATCTAGGTAAAATCAATAAAATCAAATTTTATGGTCTTTTTAGCGCTCAAACAGGGCAGTTTTAAAGCATGAGTGTTTTGGACAGAAGATATTCCTCAAATGAAATGCTCTTTATAATCAACATTCGACGGTTTGAGCAATTCTGACCAATTTTCTTTCTAAGTATGCATTGAATTTTTCAACTCAGAAAACGCTCATAATCCAACGTCCAGAGGCGCTCGGCAGATAATGAAGACAGATTTGGAATCGGCGTTTGATGCTTTTTATAGCAGTATCAATACCATCTGAGAAGGCCACTTCAACCAAACGGACTCCCCTTTGTTAGAGCAAAGAAACCCTACATTAATTTCCCTACACTAAACCCTACATAAATTTCCCTCCCTTCACATGTTTGTTTCATACTTTTACTTAAGTTTGATCTACATAAAAAACCCTACACACGAGCATTTAAACCTACTTGAACCCCCTTCTCTCCTACTAGTTATAGCCCTTCAAATTAGTGGCGGCAGCAATCCGACTCCAAGCGTGCTGTGGTGCGAGCCGGACACTGCATGCCGCCAATCCGGAGAATATGAACATTATTAGGTTTTCAGTATTTGTTTAACATCTTTTGTGTCCTGTTTACTCTTCTCTCTTATTCATATTTTTCTTTCATGATTGTGTCATAGGCGATGTCGTACTTTTGTCGCGATTTCAGCGGGGTTTCATTTCTGAAAAATTGCCAGTGCCACCTCGTGCTGGGCCCTGATTCACGCCATAATGTACGGTAAACCTCTATTGCAAAACCAAAATCCTTAGAAAGCTGAGATTTGTTTAGTCTTAAGTACCCCCTGTGCAAAGTCGGTAATGTTATCCTAGAATTCTCCATCATGTAATGCGAAATGTGGAGACAACTTACCTCGGCTTCCTTCCTGCTTTTTTCGGATTCACTTAGTGGCCTCTTTCTCACGCAAACCGTAAAACGATTATTTATCTCTTGCTGTGTCATCTCCGAAATCTCCTGCGTAGCTTAAGAGGAGACAAGACACTGAAATATGCGTTACTAGCTGGCTTACCCGGCTCCGCCGTATGTTCCGAATAGAAAATTCCATTTCTTAACCGATCCGGACCAAACTTGGCACACATACACTTCGGGGCAGAGGAGAGTAATCGAGCATGCTGATCAACCCCACGGGGGTGATCAGCATGCTCGATTACACCCCTCTGCCAAATTCCCTGTGCCAACTCCCAGCCCCGTAGCTCAAATTTTGCAAAAAATCGATAAAATCGATATTGATCGATGACGAAAAGTAGCCTATGACACCCGCCGGGGCCCGAAGTGTATGTGTGCCAAGTTTGGTCCCGATCGGTTCAGAAATGGAATTTTCTATTCGGAAACATACGTACACACATACAGACATACAGACAGACAGACAAACAGACATTCAGCTTTATATATAAGATTCCTTGTTGAGAACGAGTTTTTCTCTGAAATGAACTGAAGAACGGTACGGTCAGCACAAAGAAGCAGTGTAAAATGGCCTAATTTACACGAAAACGTTTACTTGAGAAGGAAACTGTATCACTTCAACTCACTATAGTCTGTGCAAATTTCGAAAGGGATCACACAAAATGAATTGCCAAATGAGTATGACTACATAGCAGTGGCGGTCGCAGCATTTCGGACCGGGTGGGGGAGGGGGGGGGGGAGGGGCGGCAAAAATTTTTTCCTAATGAAAGTGCGTGGCGTTGAACGGAAAAAATTTTAGGGGTGCTTCTTAAAATTTTTGCCCCAACCCTTTTTCCAGATTTAAGGGTCCCCAACCCTCAAATCTGGAAAAAGGGGGCGTGGCTGACGCCACGCCTCCGAAAAATTTTTTTACATGGCTAATTCGAATTTTTAAAAATAAAAAATTGTTGTAATGGTTTACAAAAATAAACAAGTCATTTGCGCATTTATAATCCACGTAAGCAAATTTTGAAAATTTTACGACCGATTTTCGTGGGGGGGGGGGCGCCCCTCCCCCTCCTTCGGTCCGCCACTGCTACATAGTCTATTGAGTCTAAACATAGTGATACTAAGGAAAGCTGCGAAGTGCTAGATCAAATATGATAAATGTCGTGATGAGTCCATTAGATATGCGTCATAGTACCAAAGATAGCTAGTTCACGCTTTTTGAAGTAATTACATGACTCTAGATAACAATCTGAAACAGGTGTGTAATCTGCAAAAAATGCCAAATAACACCTTATGATAGCACTATATCGATTTTTCAGCAAAAAATGGAATTTAGAAAGATTGTTTCTTTCGAAATAGAGCAGCAAAACATACTCACTTCGGTACATTATACGGATGAAAAAACGAAGCGAGAAGGCAGATGCAGAGTCTTGTATGCTTGTTTCACTTTGTAGTAATTGCCGAAGTAGAGACTGTGATGGTCTGATTGTGAGTACACAACAATTTTTTTTTCTGTTGCTTTAGATATGCATATCGGATAGTGCAAAATAACGCTTTGAACTTTCGTGTTGAAAGTAGTATTTTTGCTTTCAGTAAGCTTGCGTGCTGAAGGCGGCCTCAGAAATTTTTTTTGGATAGGCGAATTTTTTACGAAGAGAAAATTTTTTTTGAATTGCTTCACCAAATTTTCGTCTACAACCCTGAGATTTCGAGAAATTGTCGTAGCGGCAGCACGCCACTAAACACATTTTTGACAAAGCTATTTTAAATCTTTATAAATTCTGATTTCTTGATTTAGAGTATTTTAAGGTGTAGAGGCCGCATTCCTTTTGCGAGGTTTTTAGAAGCCTTCTGAGAAAAGAAATCTGATGGCAGCACCTAAGAGAAATGTTTCAACAAATTCATTTTGAGACGCATAATGTGTGCATTGTGTGAGGTATACACAGGAAACAGTGGCGATCCGGGAGGGGGGGAGGGGGAGAGGCCCCCCACCCCCCAGAATGGGCCGCGAAATATCTGAAAGTTACTTGTATGGGTTATAAAAATTTGCAAGTGACCTGTTTATACTTGTAATGATTGAAATAATCTTTAAAGTGTTTCAAAATTCTAGATAGCCTTGTAAGGGGCATGGCTGCCGCCCCCTCCCCCTTTCTTATTTTTTGGGGTCATGGGCCCACAAAAATTTTGGGGAGGGTCCCAAAAAATTTTCGGAGCCCCCCCCCCGGTCAATCCTGGGACCGCCACTACTAGAAAATCAAATAACTCTGAATGTTTGGCATAACAAACACTCAATGTCTAAGAGTGCAGTTTTGGGAGCGAGGCTTTGGCCGAAAATCGTGCAGAATAGCGGAAGTAAAAGCCATTCAACAATTTTGAATTTCACTCTAAAATAAACGATCACTAGTGTACATGTGACTTGAGGGCATTGTCCAGGTCGAGTGGGAGGTAGTGGGATTTTGACGCAGTGCGGGAGCACGGCTCCTGACTAATGGGACAGTTCGAGTCCTATCGAAAAAGGGATTCTGAAGCGAGAAAATAGCTTCGGAAAAAACGGGCGGTCCGCCAATCCCGCCTCCTCGACAAGTTTTGAAGTGGCGAATGCTGTCAGTCCAATGTATAACCCACGTCAAAAGTTGTCAAGGGGGCGGGATTGGCGAACCGCCCCTTTTTTCCAAAGCCATTTTCTCGTTTCAGAACCCACCTTTTTCGATCGGACTTGAACTGTTGCATTAGTCAGGAGTCGTGCTACCGCACCACGCCAAAATCCCACTACCCTTCAGTCTGGACAATGCCTTTACAGATATAAGCGCTCACTGGTCAAGGCCATGCGAAACATGTAAGCTTTCTTGCAAGAACAAATTGATTACCAGGATCAGCAGAAAATAAAGATTTGGGAAAAAAATATGGAGAGCGATGGACCTCCGTACGACTTGATGAGCTAATGGATTGTTAAATTCATGCCGCATGAGCGGGCGTTGAAACAAATAAGTTTTTGATAACAGTTCTGTAAGGCTTGCGAAATCACACACCGACACTGAGATACCGATGACTCAAGGTGATAGCGCAATTTCTCCATTCAAAAAAGTAGCAACAGGTACATTTCATAACATCTGTGCTGGTTTTACACGCACATTCCTGGTCACTTCTTTATAATGCAGTATCTATGAGAAATGTCATTGCCCTAATTGTTACATACTGCGCGTATGACAATGCAAAAAAAGTTTATGTGGTTATGAAATCTTGAGATAGAAAGCTTCAACACAGTTTTTATTAGATTGGTCTAAAAGTTTTATCAGTTTTTTGACATGAACCGCACATCCGTATTGTAAAGATAAATAGATATTTCAAGTTGTTTCCGGTGCAGAATTCTTCCTGTTTCCAACTGCTATATTTTCAACGTAATTCGTTGGGAGAGTGCCTAGATAATCGCTGGAATTTATCCTTTGCTTCAACCAGGTCAACCGCTGGAGGGCGGGGGCTCCGTGACCTAGTTAGGGCTAGAAAATGATCAGAGAGCATATTCGCGAGGGAGGCGCAGACTGCGTCGCGGACGCGAGCAGTCGCCGCCTAGGACATGGAGTCCCGCCTTCCAGCAGCCCATGTGATTGAAGCAAAGGGCAAACTTTTCACCATGTTCAGATTTTCTAATTTTCACAGTTTTAACTTCAGACTTTAGGGAAGCTTGAACAGCCAGCAGATAGGGCAAAGCTTTTGCCAACTCAAGCGATTTTTTGTGGCTCTGTAACTTATCTTTCAGAATTTCTAAAGTATATCCTTTGAAACAATCAAATTTTATATTTGGCCCATTCTAACCTCCTCGAACATGGAATGGTAAACAGTTCAGAAGATTATTTCTTTTCCACCTGCTCTTTATCACGTGAATCGTTGAGAGAGTGCTGAGATAATCGCTGGAAATTTCAAACCTTTGTTTCCTGTCCAGATTTCGCTAATTTTCACAATTTTTATTTGAGACTTTTGGGCTTTAGTAAACAGCAGGTAGGGTAAACCTTTTGCCAACTGGCAATTTTTGTTTTTTCAGCTACTTTTTGGAATTTTGCTAAATAATTGTCCAAAAGTCTTGAATCGTATGGCTCCCGCCAGAGTGCCGAAGTTATGCCAGCGCTACGCCAGCATTTCGATCGATACACGTGTATTTCGTTGGGGACGTCAGCTAGCCCCGCCCCAACGAAATACACGTGTATCGATCGAAATGCTGGCGTAGCGCTGGCATAACTTCGGCACTCTGGCGGGAGCCTATAGAATGCTATTGCACCAAGCATTACACAAATTTGAAATACTAAGATTTCAAATAACGATAATTACATTTACTAGTCTCACAAAGTAAATGAGCGATTTTCGCCTCTATGTATGAAAATATTGAAAATCGGAGTATGTCACTGGGCACTAGTGAAATTGAGGAATACTGATATTTTACCCGCATACGTGTGTTTCGCTGCTTCCGAATTTTTATGCTACTCATCAATGAAACAATACTGCTTTTGTTTTTGATTTTCCAGATAGACTTTTTACAGGTGGTCGAAGGATTTCTCAATGATTCTGAGGCCGCAAAACCGCTCCGGAAGTCTCACGGACGCCTCCTTTCCAGACCTCGCTCACTTCTTACACGTAATTCGGAGCGCACGCGAACACGAAGAGCTGCGGGAAAAGCTCATTTTCACCGTTTTCAAGCGCTGAAAGCTAAACAGGGAAGGTATATGACTCGCACTGGAGTTTCCCTATGAGGTGTATATCACTCGAAAGGTTTCTGAACGCTGTGTTCAAAACAATCTTCCACATCTGCTTATCGGTTTACTGAACAAAGTTAGAGGCATTTTTCCGCGTCCGTGGTCGTCTGCATGGTCGGGTACTTTGTAAATGACCTAAATTCGTAGTAAATGCGAATTTGTCCAAAATTACATGCCCAAATGTCCGAGATATACTTATTGTGCATAAAAAAGATTGATGGGATTAGTTTTAGAGCTACTTTGCCGCTTTAGCCCTGCAAGGAGCAACAAAAATCAGTGTCATTCGAGGCCAAACAAATGCCTGTAACTTTGTTCAGAAACCGATAAGCAGATATGGAAGCTTGTCTTGAGATCAGCGCTCAGAGACCTTTTAAATGATATACACCTTATAGGGAAACTCCACTGCGAGTCATATACCTTCCCTTGTAAGATAGAGCTTCAGCAAGGCGAGAAAGCTCCGGTGAGGTGAGAAACCGGAGAGCGGATTTCCCGGGACACCGCGCTGATACTTCCAGAGTCTTGACCAAAAACATAAAGGTTGTTCACGGTTGCATTGCCAATGATGCATACTCGTTGCTCCAATGATGTAAGTTAGCATGCTAGATCTGCAGACAGCGCACTGTAGGGAGTCGTGGGACCCCTAGTTGATCGATAGTGTAGTTACGAAATGCCTTCACTACCAATCCTCATCTTTATTCCAGTCAAATTGTTCTGCCTACTCTACCTGTGAACTTGATACCTCTTTTTAGAATGCTGGAACACAGTGTGGTTCTTGTTATGTCCGACACAGGTTATAATGTTGTTAAGCGGAATTTCTGCGCATTCGAATGGCAAGTTTATACTTTCATCTCTATACGTTTCTTCACTTGCTTCATTGCTACAGAGTGATGGACTTCAGAATTTGTGAATCTATGTAAGGTTTTAAGCACGTCCTCTCATTTTGAGATCTTGTGCTTACTTTCGCGAAATCTCAACTGAAGATGAGATTATCGGGATTAGCCGGTCCAAGTAGCGAAGCGGTCAGATAGTTCTTTTTCAAAGCTGGTATAAGCGCTTCGTAGAATTGTGACGACGAGTCCAATTGCGTCTTCTACACCCGCTTACATCGCAAGAGCATAAACACCTATGCAAAGGCTATGACCTGGCCAGATTCGCTCGGAGGCGCTCAAAAGCGCTCAAATCTCCCTAAACTCTCTTCACTTCTTACATCTCTCCTCACACGAGAAAGTCAAGAGACTTAGAGAAATTTGAGCGCTTTTGAGCGAAGACTGACAGGGCCTAACATTTTGTCGCTCGGCTCAGCCACTCCATATGTCCAGTATTTAGCAGCTGTTTTATGCATGCAAAAAGGGATTCGAATAGAGACGGAAAAGAAAGTGTGCATATTGGGTCAAATGTTGCGCAACCGCACCTTTTGGCAGTTCGCCATGCTATCTACGAATTTGCCATGCGATGAATTCAAATGCACGGGCTCATGGTTTTGTAAGCGATGCAAGTTGCTAGGTCTTGGTCACACAAAAACGAAGAATTAAATTATGGAACAATAGTTCTGGTAATGAAATCGTAATGAAATTGCATGCTATGAACGATGTCACTGAGGAGCCCGCGCCAGATCGTGGCAGTCGGCGGAGACGGTTAAAGGCAGTGTCCTAGCAACGGGCAAGTTGGGGGCACGAGGGAATCGGGTGCTGTGATATTTGCAATTCTTTTTTGTGGTCTGGCAATAGAGCAGTGCTGTGTTTTGTGTAAAACCGCGTGAGGCACCATGTACAGCACCAATTCGACTTGTTGTGAGGTCTTGTGCGGAAAATGGGAGTGGAAATGTTTGAAGGCAGATCCAGACAAAAGCTGTGTCCCCCATTAGTATTTAGTCTACAAGAAGCCTAGCAGTAGGACATCTGTGTTGGTCCGTTCCTTTGATGTGGCCTTTGAATGGAAAAATGAACCTGAAACCCGCAAAAGTGCTATCAAACCACGTCCGCGTTATGCGCCTTACCATGTATCATTGGCTTCCAGATTCGTGTGGAGGTGGAGTCTTCCCCAGCGCGCGGTTTTTCCTAGCGAGAGAGTACGGAAAGCAATGCTATGACGTGGAGATTTAACAGGTTTACCTGCATTATCAGAAAAAGTCTGCAATGCACATCCACACGAATCTGGAAACCGATCATACCGGAGTCGTCTGCCATGACGTTCCCAGAAATCAATTCTTGCTTTTGCGCATTTTGCACTTCATATTTGTAATCAGGCCTAGGAAAGATCCCAGAAGGGCAGAAATAGGAGCGAAAATTTTAGTAGATGCTTCTCGCACTTTTGCTTTGAAAGCCATTAATCGCTTTTTAAGGGAGACTGAAGTCAAAGACAGTAAAGATCATGCGGACATCATCTTATCATGCAATCGTGGCGTAGAAGGTAGTTCGTGGCAGTGTACAGCCGATATCACTGTTCATATCCCAGGAGTCAGCAAGGTATGTCCCAAGAAGGGCGTGACGACTTTTCTCAGAGCGTTTTGATTTTTCATTTCGATGTGTTTGCCATCACTGCCATTCATTTTCCTACACATATTTAGGTTGTAAGCGCATTCCATAGTAAACATCGTTCAACTGCTATCGCAGTCCCCCGCACTGAGTTGGGAAACGATATCAAAGTCACTATTGGATTGCAAGATGTTTCAGGCTACAGGTTCTTAGTTCAGGTTGCGTTCTTAGTAGTTCACTTCTTTCGTCTGTTCTTTTCAGAGACGTTGCGATGTTTGAGCATGATTTCACAAGGTCTTCTGAGCTGACAAACGCTTGCATCACATTCGAGAACAGCGATACTCGCGTTTACGTCATTCGAGAAGTTCGTAACAGTCAGTATCTTCAGCTTGGAAGCATGATTGATTCTGCATTCAGTATCTTTTGCTCAATTCACGGAGATTTGCAACATTGTTGACGCGAATGGTACCGTCGCGCGAGAATACGCCTGTTTTTACCTCAAGCAAATCCGAATGTAGCGATTTGGATGTTTTGAGCTCGCGGTGAGTGAAAATTTTACTCGTTCTGATTATATCAAGTTTTTGTTTTAGAACTACTCTGACTGATCCATTGTGTACTGAAGATGATGAGGTCGCAAATATCATGTCTCTGCAAGGTTTGTTGAGGTTTTGCTATGAAATGGAATGATTCATTCGGTGGTGCAAGAGGAATTAAAGGTATCTTGCTACGCGAAGACCCACGAAGACTTCTTGGATCGCTCGCCTTTCTAGGCAGAGAATACTTTGGGATCGCAGAAAGAATCTGATTTTGGAGGCCTAGCTATAGCATGTGCCATACTCAAATTATTTGATCCGCTTGATCCACCCCATCAACTTCGTTATTGATGATCAAATCAGTGAAGTGATGATTAGTGGATGTCCACTTGATCCACTTCGCTATTGGTCAGACCTATTCAACTGATAATGGAGTGGATCAGGTGGACCAAGTATGGCTCGTGCATAGTACGTCGCACAAGCGGGAGCACAGTAGGGCCTCCTTTGGTTATAGGCGACAGGCCTTTAATTTCTTTTGCGCCGCATCCGTCCCGGAAGAACGCGAGGGCTGTGAAGAAGATCTTGGCAAATATACAGAAAAACTTGGCAAGGATAGCCATTGGAAGCATACCCTCATAACGCTTGAAAAAGCTTTGGAAGTTTTGAAACTTAGGATTGGAATCAGCGCTGAAAGGCGCATGTTACCTCTGTTTTGCTATCCTAGCTCAATTTCTACAAAAGGATTAGACATGAACTGAAGGACTTCAAAATTTCGGCGTAAAAAATGAGGAATCTCAGTTCACTGATGAAAGGTTTCGAGTAAACCTTTCAGTGAGAAATTTGGGACTTTGTTCATAGAAAGTGGTAACAATCCAAGACTAAAATTTTATTCTCAACTGGATCCTGACGAACTTTTGTTTTGTATATATTTAGAAGCATCACGAACACAGTTTCTTTGTCTAAGCATATGAAATTTCACGAAGGTCTTAAAATTTGAAACTACATAGAATAGTTTAAAGTTATGCGACAAACTGCATATTGCATCTTTTCACAACTGATTTTTTTCTACTTGTGACATTTTGACTGCAGTTGGTTCATTGACACGAAAAACAGCCTTCTCGAGAAAAATATTTTCGAAAAAAACTCCTCCCTCAAAATTTTAAAGCTTAGTTTCATAGCGGAAACCTGGTTTATCAAAACTTGAAACTTCAAATTTCCTAATACAAGTAGCTTTTATCAGGATTTCCGTCATTTTGTGGAACAGGTCTATATGAAAAAAGGATGTCTTTCTTAATTTTGCAACCTACTGTCACTATTCATGGTTATATCATTTTCACGCTCAGCGCTGATCATCTCACTTAGATGACGATGTGACAACGTCGCCTTCAACCGTGTGTCAAGAATATGAGATATACCTATTAAAAGGTGTCAGCTCTGGAGACTTTATTACTCTTCTGAAAGCCATTCATCCGCCATTTGCGGAAGTCACTAGTAAGCGCAACTTCATCTTCAGTGTGTTTTTATTTCTATAATCCTATATTTGTCATCGCTTACTTTTTATAGACGAAAATGTGGAAAGCCTCCTTGCGACAGCTTTTCGCTTGGGTGTGGAACATATCATTTGGAAATGTGAAACTTTTCTTAGAACTGAGGGAGCTCGGCGATCGTTTGATGTCTTCGGTAGACTCGTCTTTGCCATCACCTACAAAATGTCTGCTCTTGAGGTTAGCTCTCCTATATATTCAAACTATTCTTGAAACATTTTTCACTTTGAGAACGACTGCCTGGCAGCGCTGCAGAGTGTCAACGACGTTCGTACGATGCTGATGGATTCTCGTATGGAGAGCGCTCCTCAAGAACTTCGAACACTTCTTTTGGAGACGTTGTTTCAGCGTCTCAACTCTGAAACGTGTCCAGCTACCCTCAAAGGTATTGTTTGAGAACAGTATTTGCTGAATAAAGCGTAGGAGTGCTGCTCAGTTGTTTCAGCTAAGATGGTATCTGAGTCTTCGCAGACTTGTTTTTGTTTATCTGGATCAGCAAATGACGCGGAAGTTGCTTCTACAGAGGTAGTGGGCAAATGACAATGACTGTAAACATGTGATCCACTTTTTAGAATGGCCCTCACTTGTGTGAAAGTATGGCTCGAAGGGAATTTGAGCAGGAAGAGATACAAGGAAGAGGAAAAATGTCTTTAAATAAGCAAGAGAAGGTTAGGTTATATCACTTAGAGGATGTTCTATTTTTACTTATTACAGGCCGCTGAGGATGTAGACAAGATTGCGAACGACGCATGTGCAACCAGTTCACAATTGGATCAGCGTCCAAACGAGATTGATACGGTAGGCAATGTGTTTATGGAACTACTATATTTTAATTGGAACTATCGTTAGCTCTGTGGTTGGACCGGTTCTCTAACAGGCCCTGACAAAAGGTGCTGAGTAAAATGGCGCTTAACAGTGGCGCTCCGAGAATTTTTTTTGGGAGGAGGGGAAGGAGGCAACAACAAAACATTTGATTGAAAAATCTTGGGATGCTTTCTGAAATTTTTGCTTGCCTGTCACCTTGGAATTTCAAGAATAAGGGACGACGGGGCAGCCAGAAAAGTTTATAGAGGCTAAATAGAAGAATGATCAATATTCGATTATCTTGAAGCAAAAGCAAATCGTTTGCTGAATTCTCTAACAGTCCACAAGGATGGTTCGCAAGATTTCACGTGGTAAGGTTGAGGCATAAACTCGAGCAGTTGGTCCGTAAACTACAGCTGAAGTAATAGGTTGGTGCAGGACTTGCGAATTTAGAAGAGACAATAATCTCAACAGCGTAAGCCAAAATTCTTGTGCTTGAATCTAAAAAATAGAAGTTTCGCGCTTTGCGACGCTTAGCTAAACGCAGCTTCTCGTTTGTTAGCCCTGGAGGAACAATTCTTGAAAGCGGTTCGAATTTCGTGATTTTGGGTGAGGTCGTGAAAATGGAGTGCTACTGGAGTGCCGCTGCTAAGCCTCAAAAAATCTGCAAACATTTCCAAGCAGTAGGTCAAGTTTTCGGTTTCAAGCTATATTTCTGGGAAGGAAATGCGGTAATATTTTTTCTTGTGAATGACGTCGCGAATTTTTGTGGGCGGCTTGCATTAACAATCCCGCTTGGGAGGGAAATGTAGCTTAGGCAAAGCTTCATATTCTGAAGCTACAGTGTCGTGCAATTCATTTGGTCTCTATTCGCAGTGTTTCTACTACCCTTTACTATAAACGTATTGATCAGGAGTGGGAAGTGGTACAAGCCGCATTTTTCAGCTTTTTATATGACCCATAATTATTCCGACGACTGTCTTGTCTTCAGTGTTTTCATCTCTTCGCAGTGAGATTCAAAATTGTACTGATTGTCTAGCCCAACAGTGCTGAACATTTCTGAAGAGTAGATTAATTCAAAGTATTGAGGTTTCGGATAACATCTCGGAAAACTCGCAAGTTTTGTCTTGTTTTATCGAGATCTTCACCACTCCGATACTTCTGTTTTCCATATCAAAAGCTGCATCTGTTGGGGTAACTGACGTGCAAACTTGAAACGTTTTCATCGAATTTGAAGAGAGAAAAATGACTTTGAGGAAGAGACTGTCGGCCGCGGGCACCATCAGATCATATCAGTGGCGTACCGAGGGGGAGAGGAAGGGCGGGGGAAGTTATATGAGTTACTTACAGTTACTTAGTTAGCCACTTACATGAGTTATAAATGTGCAAGTGACTGTAAGCAATCAAAATAATTTTTGAAATTTTCAATTCAGTTTAGCCTTATAAAAAAATTTTTCGGGGCGTGGCTGACGCCACGCCCTTTTTTTTGAATTTTGGCGTTACAGGCCCACGGAAATTTTGATAAGCATACCAAAAATTTTTCTAGGTGCATGGTTAGGCCACGCACCCATTAGAAAAAATTTTTTGGGTACTTTTCCGTTATCCGGACCCATTTTTTCAAAGAAAGATATAGCTTCTATTCTTGTACCATTATGTCCCACTTTTACAGAAAGGAGTTTCAACGCTCTGCCACGTGTCAAAAAAAAATTTGACATGTCATCTACCTGCTCAACAGGTTTTACCAAGAGTTTGTGTTACCCTACTTAGCGATGTAAGTTCAATCTGTTTTTTAGTTGACTTCAAACTCACTTCGATCAAACAGCTTCAAAGTGAACATTTTTATAATAATTGCGATATAGTATCATCGATGAACAAATAGATTCGCTCAGGATAGAGGAGTGCGCTAAATTCCGTCATTTAAGAGGCGGAATAAGCAGCTGCAAGGTTCTTCAAGCTGTCATTTATAATCTTTTCGGCTAAATTCGCTGGCGAAAAGGGTTTAAAGAGGAATACACCTTTTGAAACACTGCTGAAAGCAGTCAAGATGTTTTACTGTAAGCTCAGATTGTTTTGCGCTTATGTAAGACAGTTAAACAGTTTCAAAATAATTACAAACTCTTTTTCATCTCATCGAATGATTTCGAAAAAACATGTCAAAATGGAACAAAACGTGTTAATTTTTCTGTGACTCGTGGCAAGGAGGCAGTCCTCGTAGAATCTGTGAAAAATTATTCCTAGACTAAAGAACGTATAATATGAGAGCCTTTTGAAAAAATGGGTCCGGATAACGGAAAAGTACCTTTTTTGTTGCTGAAAATACATTCGCTTTAACTTCTAACTTCAAAATGACATTTTAAACTCCAAGTTAAGCATCAAATTCAGTGAATCAAATACATATTGGTATAGTGTGGACCCCGGCCAGGTTCTCATATGTACCTCCGCGCTGCGTGTGCGGCGCGGAGGTACATATGAGAACCTGGCCGGGGTCCACACTATAGCTTTTAGCGAGAATACAGCAATCTGCAGCAGATTTTATTTACCTTTTTTATAAGCAAGATGGCACTCGAAATTCTGCTTATGTCATGCTAATTTCCATCCCCTCTTCCAAACTTCTTAGGGCCGCATGCATTAACATCCCCGCCGGGGAGGGGATCACAGCTTCAGAAAAAAGCTTGATATCCTGAAGCTCCAGTCTGGATTTCACGCTGTCTTCCTATCCGTAAGTACTCCTACCATGTTCACTATGAATATCTTGAGCAGGAGCAAAAAGATGTACAAGCCGCATTTTCCGGCTTTTTGTGTGATCCCCTGATGAAAAACGCGGCCGGACGTCTTCGGTTCAAATTCATTTTTCTTCCTTTAAAACTGACGAAAACCTTCCAAAGTTGTACTGATTATCTATCCCAACAGTGCATGTTGTTGATAAGAACAAATGAGCCTTAAAAATGTCGATTTTTTCGATAAACCCCAACTTTCGACTTGTGGTTCATCGCAAATTTCAAGAATTCGAAACATCATTTGTTCTTACCAGAAACATGATTAGCACTGTTGGGTTAGATAAACAGCACAACTTTGAAATGTTTTTATTGACTTCGGAAAAAGAAAAATGATTTAAAAGACGTTGGGCAGCCAGGGATCATCAGGGGATCGAACAAAAAAACTGGAAAACGCGGCTTGTACAGTCTCTCGCCCCCGTTCAAGATGTCCATAATGAAGGATGTGTGAGCACTTACGGATAGGTAGACAGCGTGAAATTTAGATATCTGGAGCTTCAGTATATGAAGCTTTCTTTGAAGCCGGGTTCCCCTCCCCAGCGGGAATGTTAACGCATGTGGCCCTTAGCACAGTTGGACGGCAAGGTAGTAAGTGTTCTGGAGGATCTGCGTAACGAAGTGCAGAAGTTGCTTACTAGGAAGAAACTTACTAGTGTGAGCTTTAGCATTTCGTTTATTGTTGACCGCAAAACATTTGAATGTTTTTTACGTGAAATGTGAAAACTCTGTGTGAACTTCTTTTACTTGTAAGTAGTTGAAGTAAATTTCAAAACCTCTAGAATTTCAAATTACCTTTGTAAGCAAATTCTTCCAGAGGCGTGGCCGTGGCATATGGCGTGGCGGCGGCGGTGCATTTACTAGTTTATGACATGATACTACTTTTATCATCATCCAGGTACCTGAGAGCCTGTCGGAATCTTTACTGTCCATTTTCCAAATTCCATTTCATAGTTTAACCTCTTAATCCATCAAATTTATCAATATCTGATAGTCCATCTACCATTCTTGCTCAACACACAATGGGAGCATCCCGTGGGCGGAGTGATGGGCGGCGTTCTCTGCCTTCCACCTCCCCCTTGGATACAGACGGCAAGGGCTTTGGTTCCTCCTGCACCACCTCCGTGGCATATACCTTGCCCTTTCATTCGCAAGAATTTTAGCCACTCCCGCTCCCCCAAAAATCGTTGTCACCGCCGGCGCACTTAGTGTCTAGTCTTTGTCGAAAAATTGGGAGCGCTACCACGTTGACATTCTTGTGCGGAAGACTGTTTGACTGTTTCTAGATCCAGTGAAGATCGTAATTAGAATTTCTCATAGTTATAAACAAGCAGAAATTCTCTGGAAAATTTTTTTTTGATTATTGCCCGTCTGTTATTCTGTAGTGGTTTTAAAGATTTGTTGCGTTTGATTTTGCTTGGTAGGTTACTCCGAAAAATAACGCATCTTTTATTGAAGGCAGTGTCCGGGCAAAAAGTCGGTTTTGAGGTTTTGTGCTTACTCGGGTAAGCACAAAACTCGGCTCTATTCACTATGCTGAATCCGAAAATCCACACTAAAGAGCGCGAAAACGGTGAAAAAGGGCTCTAACGCAGGAGGGGAAACGCAGGTGGGTGGGTTTTCCTCACCGTGAATCCAAGCTCCCAGCTTCACGGTTCCGATTTCAAGTCATGCGTTTGCAAGTGGCTGGTGGCGATGTCAGGGCGCCAGCAGAATCGAGAAGATCGTTCCGGAAGTTGAGAGCGTGAATGCACAGTGGGGAAGATCCCGCTCAACCCGCTGCTTTCCTCCATCAAGCCCTTTTCGGCATTCTTGCGCTCTCCAGTGTGGATTTTCGATTTAACATAGCAAATAGCAAAATTTTGAAATCGACTATAGACACTGCCTTTAAGGCCTAAGGCATACCTCACGCGATTCCAGTCGCTTCGCGATCTGGCAGCAACAACTCTCCATGATTATCCATAAACGACTTTTGCGAAGACTTATAAAAGCTCGCGCCTATGCATTTGACACCAGCGCACGACTGATCTGTAGACATTTGGTACGCCCAATCGCGTGGATGTAGCGATTTGAGGTAGTCGTGGGGAGTATGACTTAGGCCTAAAGGCAGCGTCCAGGCAGTTCTGGACATACAGGGATCCCATGCGAAAAGTACATAGTTTTGGGACCTTAATCAAGACACTGCTTAAAGGCAGCGTTCAGGCAAATCTGTGCTTATGGGGATCTCACTTGGGAATTAATCTTGGAGCCCTAACTAAAACACTGTCCAGGCGGCGGCTCAAATGGTGGGCTCACAGTTGAGATATTCGCCTTTGAACTGGAACGCGGGGTCGTATTAGCATGGATTCATGGCGCGACGCGCGTGGGTCCTCGCGCGTCGCGCCATGAATCATTCTAATACGATCCCGGGTTCCAGTTTAAAGGCGAATATCTCAATGGTGAGTTCAGTTCACCATTTGAGCTGCCGCTTGGGCAGTGGCTTAGTTAGGCCCAACAAAATAACTTTCCACATTAGAACCGCGTATGTCCAGATTTGCCTGGACGCTGCCTTTAAAGGCAGATCGGCAAAATCCAACAACTCAGGATTTCAACGCCGTAGGTTCCCTATCGTCCAAGTATGAAAACAGTGCAATCCCGGTTGCACAGCATGCTTTCCCTGCCGAGAAAATCGCTCTCAAACTTACACGCGCAGGCCAATCTTACACGCATCTGGACGAGTTGGCAATTTCCTTCTCACCATTGGAGGCTGCCCACCGCAACGTTATAACTATTGGGTCCTGGAACGATTTAGGACCGCATGCACTAACATCCCCGCGGGAGGGATAGCTCAAAAGAAAGCTTTATATATCAAAACTCCAGATGCCTGGATTTCACGTTGTGTACCTATCCATAAGTATTCCTACTACCCTTCACTATGAACATGTTGAACAGGAGCGAGAAGCTGTACGAACCGCATGTTCCAGCTTTCGTATGATCCCTGATGATCTCCGGCGCTTTTCTTTAAAGTCATTTTTCTTTCTCCGAAGTTAACGAAAAACCACCAAAGTTGTGCAGATTATCTAACCCAACAGTGCTAAGCATATCGCTGATAAGAACAAGTGATGTTTTGAAATCATGAAATTTTCGATGATCCACAGGTCGAAATTTGAAGTTTACCGAAAAATTCGACTTTTCAAAAACTCGTTTGTTCTCATCAGCAACATGCCTAGCACTGTTGTGTTAGATGTTCAGTACAACTTTGGAAGGTTTTCGTCAACGTCGGAGAAAGGAAAATGACTTTAAAGAAAAGCGCCGGGGATCATCGGGGATCACACGAAAGCTGGAAAATGCGGTTCGTACAGCTTCTCGCTCCTGTTCAACATGTTCATAGTGAAGGGTAGTAGGAATACTTACGGATAGGTACACACGTGAAATCCAGGTACCTGGAGTTTCGAAATATAAAGCTTTCTTCTAAGCTGCGATCCCCTCCCCAGTGGGGAGGTTAGTGCGGCCCTTAGCGTCACCGGCCTTGCTCCACTCGTCCACTTCCAAGGGGAAGGGCATCAAAAAACGCTCATTTTCGCCGTTTTCAAACTTTCAAAAGTGGATTTTCGGGATCAGCGTATTGAATAACCCCAGGTAAACGCAAATTTGACTAGGTTGAAATTTGCCGAGCCATTGCCTTTAAGCGGCAGCTCATGTGGTGTACCCACGGCTGAGATATACGCCCCCAAACTCCCCTTCCTCCCAAACTGGACCTCAGGATCGTATCAACAGGTGACTTGTCTCTTGTTCGCAAGGTTTCATTCTGCGACCTCTCAGTTTGCGTGGGTCCTCGCGCGAAAGCATGCAGGCACGATGCAGTTCGTCCGAAATACGAACTCGAGGTCACTTCGGAGGCTAATATCTCAGCCGTGATTGAATGCCTTTGAAGGCAGCGTCCACAAATCTGGACCTATGAGGCTTCCACGTGGAAAGTACTTTTGGGGCCCTAATTAAGGCACTGCCCAAGCGGCAGCTCAGGTACCGTCTGCGCCCCAGAGAGGTTCCCATAGGTACCACGTCATCTCGCTGCCTTTCGCACTTTTGAACGTGTTAACCTCGGGCACTTCCATTGAAATCTCAGGAGAAACCTGTCAAAAATAGCGAAAGGCAGCGTCGCACCACGTACGCACACTGGTTCACATGGGAACCTCTCTGGGGTGCAGACGATAGTACTGTAATGGCTAAGATATTCCCCTCGAAACTGGACCCCGCGACCGTGTTTGGCATGGATTCATGGCGCAAAGCGTGGATCCTAACGCGAAACTGTCATGAATCCATGCGAATGCGTTCGCGGGGGCCAGTTTCGAGGGGAATATCTCAGTTATTAGAGCACTACCTGAGCTGCCGCTTGGGCAGTGCCTTAGTTAGGGCCCCAAAAGTACTCTCCACGTAAAAGCTCCATAGGTCCAGATCTGCCTGGACGCTTCCTTTAATGGCATCATGCTCCAGTTTTTGTTCAAATTGTTATGATCGCATTAGAGGGAGGGGAGAGGGGTAGTCTAGTGATATGATACAATTTCTACGGGTTCCTCCATACTACGCCGCAGGACGCAGCAGCCTATCGCAGCACACCGCGTCCTACGGCGTAGTGTGAGGCCCCGGGAAGACTACGCGATTTGATCGTCGCGACTGAATCGCGACGAGACAACTGTTACAACATCATTCCATGCCGATCAACTTGCATTCGGTTGTGATACTTTTCCAGCCCGAAATTTTTGAATGTGAAATGAAAATGAATGGAAATGGCGATTAGATCGCGACGATTAAGTCGCGTGAAGTCTGTCCGGGGCCTGAAGGACCCTACCGGATCGGTGGACAAGACACGGTTTGAACAACTGCTATGTTATCTTAATAATGAACAGCAACGAACAACTTGGATTTCACTCTATCAGAACTCGGTAACACATCGATGAGGATTCGCCCGACTTGACACTCTCGGCAGGGTTCTATAGCTAGTTCTGTTTGAGGGACTGAGGTTCGCCGCTTTTGACGGCTGTTTTGAACTCCTTGGAGCGTTTCTCTTTGTGTTGTGGCTGCTCCCACCTGATCATCGTATCGGTACTCTGCTGAGGGTCACCGGGTCCTCTTTCCGCCAAAAAAGCCTCGATCTTCTCGATTCAACTTACTTCATTATAGAAGTGCAGTAAACAGACTAACGAAAGGCGAATCTCCGTAGCGCGCAGAAGAAAAGCAAGAAAGCATAACCCAGAATGCAAGCCAGAATATAACGATTTTCCAGAGGTTTGCTTCGAATGTTGAGGTAATGTTTTCCAGTTCATTTGATTATTGCAGCTGTTTGTATGTGAAACAGTCAATGCACGCAAATTCTCGAAGAAGTCCCAGTCTATATGGTATAATGGTAGCTATATATTCCTCTCAGCACACGATATATTTGTCGACCTCGTGCTTCCACCTACCACATCCTTGGGAACCGTGGTCTCTTCGTTCGCATCCCATTTTTTTACAAAAATGAGTTGCGATCATCTTCAACACTAATTCCAGGCATTATCTAATTGCAGAGTTGGCTGTCAAGAGCATACTTTCCGGAGGAGCAGCAGAGAATTCCGTCTTCTATGATAGAGATAATATCAAGTAGGTTTATCACTACTTTCGGTTTTATCCTCCTAGACCTCTTGATTTAGCTAGTATAATTGTTGGCTGCGAGTTTGATGTGCAGTTGTATGGTAATAACTTGCTCTTTGATAAGCTCAAAGCGTATTTGAAGAAGCAACTTCTTGACTATGAGCATGTTAGCATGAGCCGGTATGTTTATTACTTTTTTCTTTGAACATTCATTTTGCATTTGCAGCTAAAACTACGGGGGACGACTGACAGATAGCCGTACGCCTGTTTCGTTGCAGCTGTACAGTTCTTACAACTCTTGTATATGGTATATATTCATGCATTAGTTTCTTATCAAACAAAGCAAATCTCACGCATTTATCGTTGTAATATCTTTTATTTCTTGTGTAACATTCAACAATTGTGCATGCTTCTTATTAACATTGCAAATATTTTAGAACTTTGATGGTTTCTACTCATTTATTGTGTAAAAGAAGAATGTAAGCAATCCCGCAGTCTTATTGTCATCTCCTTTATCGAAATAAAGTTTTACGGAGTATCTTCGCTCACTTTTGTTTTCGTTTCTAAATCCTCCAATTTATTGTTTATCGTTTATGATTGGGAAGCATTTGAATAACAACGCAGGAATATTTGGAATTTTTTTGACAATAGTGTCCATTTTTTATTTTTTTCCTTCGACGAAAAGTTGTTTTAATGTGCCAGTTTTGCAATGTTCTGTCGCGAAATGTCACGAGCGCTTTAGCATTTTCCTCGGAGCCTCGGCATCCTTATAAAAATCAAGTTGAGATTACCCACCAAGCCGATAAACCACATGGTTAGGCATCCCAAAAGTTCGTTTGCACCATTTCCAGATATTCGTAACTTTTCATTTTTTCAGAGTTTTCGAACTTGGTAGTAAAAGGAGATCATGCGATTTACAGTAGCACTTTAAAGGCACCGTCCACCCTAAGTTGAGGGTGTTGAGCTTTTGGCAGCATAGGGGCCCCCTATCAATTTAATGCCAAAGTCGCGGCGCAAAATGCCGCTTCGGAAGCAAGAAAGTCGCTTCGGAATAGCGAAGGTGCACGAGGACCCCCATTAATGCCCGACCATTTGTGCGCGCCATCCAATCACCGTTCCGAATAGCCGGCCTATGGGTTCTCCGGAACGGGGATTGTCGGGTTTTCGCGGTTTCTCGACTTCATATTCGGAAATCAGGGACATGAGAAGGTCCTGAAACGACAAAAACGTGGAAGTCGTAAATCTGGGTGGACGGTACCTTTAAGATCCTTCTATCAAGCGTCAATGCAGAGACATAAGCTGTGGAAATATTACTCAAATTTTGTTTTTCTTGTAGGGTTGCCAAAAATCTGAAAGCATTAAAAATCATGGTAATCGGTATTATGAATTTCATGACCTCTTTCCATTTGGGTGTCCACTGAGCGTTTCTGTCTAAAGTTATGATTTTCGAAAATGCCGATATGATTCAAATTTGCCTTGTTGTATTGCTTTTTCGAAAATTAAAACTTTTCATAGAAGAGCTCAATGACACAGACTTCGTCAAGTAGAAAGAGCAGCTCATGAAATTCATGATACTGAATGCTCCGACTTTTGCAGCAAGTCTGTTTCTCAACGATTTTACACAGAAAAATCTAAATGCGGATGACATATCTATAATACAATCTTCCACTAATGACTGTTAGTGAAAGCGAAACTGCCGCCGATTATGCGCACCTGGCTCCCTGGGATTTCCTTACAATTAGATTTGTCCATCTTGTATTATAGCTTACTTTCTCTTTACAATTACGCTTCAGCAATTCACGCTTTTAGCGTGTTTGCTGCATCTTTGTGTACATGACGTGATTAGGCGAAGATTCGCGATGTGGCTGACCTTCTAGTTTTACAGTATTTTCTTCGGCGCAAGAGCTTGTGTTTGATCACTTGTATGACTGTGCAGAAACCAAGCTGAGCAGATGTTTGCAGATAATTCTTGGGAAACGGTGGCAGTTGAATGTTCGACTTCGGCTTCACGAAATCTTAAGAATTCTTTCTATGATTAAATTAAATGATGTGATGTTAGTAGCATCTTTCAAAAAATTTTTTCTTTGTGAGATTTTCCGAGGCGTTTTTCACGGGCATATGGCTTGATACATAGAGGGCTTTTCAACATAAGAGTCACAGCCTCCGCTTGCGCGGCTCCTCCAACGCGGCCGCCTCGCTCAGGCCGCGCGCGGCGTTTGCGGCGCATCGCCCGGGCGTTTGCCAAGCTTCAGTCGACGCGCAGCCAGCGCCACGAACGCTGCGCGGACCTAAGCGTGGCGGCCGAGCGGGGCGGCTGTGACACTCAGGTTGTAAAGCCCTGTACCTCGCTGCTTAGATATGGACAAAATCAGCGAGCAGCGAAGGCAGCGCTGCTCCGGCTGATCAGCGCTGCGCTCGGCTGCTTCTTGAGTGCATGTTGAGTGCAGAAACCATCAAAAATAACTGCACTAATGTCGAGTTTTATTACGTCAAAAAGAAGAGAATTAGCATATTTTAAGTTGGATCTGGTCCACACTTTTAAGAGAAGTTCTTCACTTTTCATTTTTCATCACTAAATTTAGAACGCAAAGGTAGCTCATACGAGCAAACTCAAAAGAGCAATTCAAGTGTATTCATTCCATTCGACCCCTGATAAGGCAATGGCTGTTCCAGTAGTATGAAAGTGTCCCTCAGGCAATGACATGATTGCAGTCCATTGGAGGCCAAATTTTATCTGATTACGCTGTCAGCTTTTCGAATTATTGAATGTGTAGTCAGTATCAATTACTTCATCTCTTCAAGTTCATGGAGTATGTCCCTCCAGTGCGTCTCAATATTTCCTATTTCCCCATATCCTCTGAAACCCCAATTAAACGGTATTAGGTTGCATTCATGACTTGCTCACGCAATATAAAGACGGACTCTGTTTTCAGAACGCTAGTCAGAGCTTGAAAATTTCTAAAAATAGGTAATTTCGAGCCAAAACAGCTGTTTGCAGCTCACAGCAGCTGAGATACGCTCAGAAAAAGTGAGCGTAACTCAGTTGCAAATGTCGTTGCAGCGCTGATCAGCTTGAGCAGCGCTGCGCAGCGCTGCTCAAAAATGACTCACTAGGTATGGACACGACCTTCCATGTTAGCTGCTGCAGCGGGAGGCAGCAGCGTCACTCCGCTGCAATCAATACGCACAAATCGCATTGCTGCCACCGCTACGTATAGACTCCAGCCAGGTATGTATCAAGCCTATGACTCAGAGAAGGGGCGGCGGCAGTCATGTCCCAAAAAATATTTTTGAAGTTATTCTGATTCTCAAAATATTTTCAAAACTATCTCAATTTATGCATAACCGTGCATCCTCCGGAGTTGTTCCCAAAGGTACCATTAAAAGAAGCGTCCAGGCAACATGGGGGTTGGGATTTGAGTGCCATGCGAAAGTGGCCCCACTCAGACACAATAAGTGCGACGTCATAACGCTCGACTTAAAGCAAGAAAAATGACCGGAAAGTAAGGAAACTTACGCCTTGCGGTGGGGTCCTCCGAGCTGTCCGAATTTCTGCTAAGTGGCAGAGTACGCATGCCGCCACAGTTGAAATGTAAGGTCCCGCAGCGACTCTGAGCCTCTGCCTTCTCAGACACTCGCACCGGCCGGCGACCGTTCGACGACGGCCTTCCGGCCGGCGGCCGTTCCATCCTTTTGGGCGGAGCAAACGCCGGCCGGCCACCGGACTGGTAAATAATGCCGGCCGGCGGCCGTTCCGCTGTGCAAAAGCTCGGAAAGCGCACAAGATTGCGCGTACAGTAGGAAAATAATTTCAAACATTGGGCGCGTTGTGTCTGCTAAGCAGAAAACTTCTCTCTATTAATTTTCCTTTGTTATTGTTGGGGTTTTCTACTTCGGTTGCGTCACTTTCTTGTCCGATGATAGTTGATGTAGCCCATTATTATAATTCCGTTCATTTCATTCATTTCTTTCCAGATTTGATCAAACTCCATGGTGTTCGTTGTCACTTCTTTCTATATTATTGCTCATTTTGACTTGAATGGCGAAAAACCCGAACGTCAGTGAGTTCATGCCTATTTGCTGTGACGTGAATTCTAGGTAAGTGTCGCAACACCTTTTGGGTGCGAACTAAGGAAGTACAAACTAGACGTCCACAAGTTTTTTAGGAGACAGCTGCAATACATTGTATTTGGGCTCTTGCTTTTATGATGGATACAATGAATGGTTGACCGCTGTCAGTTTAACACTGTTATTCGTGATTACGAAACACTGTTAATCGTGAGTACGAATATGGCCAATGAATGCTCCTTTACATAATCCTCAATGCTGCGAATTGTGGACTATTCCTACTTTGCTGAGTTTTAATTCTAATTCATCTGAAGATCGTTGATCTGTTGGTTTCTGCTAAGTCACTGTGTGATATACTATCGCATATCTGCTAATCTGATGCTTACGGCTGCTCGAAGCACTCCAAAAGATGTAAGTTTTCTCTGACTAAGATTTGATTGAAACTACCCAGTGTTTTCTAGGGACCGATACGATTATCTGTTTCAACCATCTCCTGTGAACGCATATGTTTTGATATTGCTCTGCTAACAGACGTTATCGCTACTCTATACATAGCTGTAAGTCCTGGTATAATTTAAAAATTGTCAATAAATTATTTCATTTACAGGTTATCGGATGCGGCTTATCAATGGTTGAATGTGGCATTCAGAAGTACAAAGCAAATATGCGACCTTTTAGCCTAGCCAATCCGGAAAAGTTGTTTAACGATATGTGAACCAGTTGTATCAAATCTAGCTTTTTAGTTTTGAATGTATTTTTCATGCACATATGTACAATGTGACAATGTTTGTTGTTTGTTCAATGTCTCTTTGCATTGTACCTTCTGGCTGTAATAAATATGTATGTTGCTATAGATTTGTACCACCCCATATTAAGGTTATAGAGCTGAATGAAAGGTAGATAGAGAAAAAAATACTGTGGCCCAGTGCTATTTTGTTGCGCCATTGACGCATGCCGGCCGGCGACCGTACGGGTACCGGCTGGCGGCCGTTCGAGTACCGGCTGGCGGCCGGCTCGCGACCGTCCCGGCCGAAATGTCGGTGACGGACCGGCCGGTCGTGGAACGGCCGCCGGCCGGTGCGAGTGTCTGAGTTTGTGGGGACCGTCGACTCAAATCGTGCGTCTTTGGAAAACGTATGTTCTCGCCGTTTTCACCCCTTCTAATGTGGATTTTCGGATTCAGCGCTGCGGATAACTCCGGTAAGTGGATTTTTTAGAAATCGAGTTTTTGCCCGGACACTGCCTTTAATGGGGTGTATGTCAAGAGGCGCGATTTTTATTGCCAGCTGGACACCAAATCGCACCTATTAAGTGTTTTACATCTAAGAGTATATGAACTTTAGAAGAAGATATATTAGATATGTACTTGCATGGATTGTTCAATCTCAATAATTTGGGAAGAACTCAAAACAGCGATTTTGAATGTCAAAAACCCATGAAAACTCATTTAAAAACAAAATCGTAAATATTTCAGTCCGTTTCATAGCGAAAACCATGAAACTTAGCAAGTGGTGACCTCAGAGAGGTAGTAAACTATTGCACTTTATCTGGGACTTTCTGAAGACTCGCATAATAATTTGGAGTTTTGATTGATGACAGGCGGAGAAATCGCGCCGTTGACCGTCCCCCTATAACGTGGCTGCCTTTCGATCATTTTAACACGTTAACTCCGGCGAATTTGATGCGTTTTTTCGGTGTTGACATGTTAAAATGATCGGAAGGCAGCCATGTTGGTGGTACTTGAGAACAATTCCGGAGGATACACGATACATAAAACTGAGTGTTGTACATTGGTAGTTAGTGCGTGTTCTGGAAATTTTTGCGCGTGGACCGATCAGCGCCAAACGCACATATACAGTGCTGGCCAAAACTATAATTCCACCCTGAAAACTGCCGTAACTCATCTGCTTCTCAACGAATTGATTTGAAATTTGGTATAGTTGTGTATTTAACGGGCTACCATCAGTGACCAGAACGGATCCCGTTTTTGTTTGATTATTCAGGAAAAAATCAAAAATTTCGAAAAAAGCAGGCTTAAAGGTTGGCCAAAACTATAATTCACCTAAGGTTTCTGTCCACCAAAGTAATTCTCGGCTTCCAAAGCATTTTGTGCATATACATAATGAAAAGTCAAAACAGTCGCTTCAGTCTGTCATACCTTTATAAGAAACGTTTATCTGCTTTTTTTCGCTTAAATATATCATGCGTATTTCGTTCCCAAGAATGTGTTTTTATGGGTAATTTCGCAGTTTTTTGACTGGTTTGGAAGCGATAGGGCTGCATCTATTTTATAGATGCTTAGCGAAATGAGAACTAGAAAAAAATCGGAATTTTCATATCTGAAGCGCACCCGACATAGAGCGAACCACAGGCCTGCGCTCAAATTTATGCCCCTCCTTCTGCAATGTTCTTATGAGCGTGAAGTAGAGTAATAACATTGTTTGTACGTATGAGATCCGAATGCAGTGGTTGCAGATTTCCGCACTTCTTAGCATCCAGGCTTATTGGGGAATTCATCCTGCAAAAACTGATTTTCAAGAAGCCATGAACTTATTCTTGGTTCTGATCGTAATGCTCAAGTGAGTCATAAGGCATCATACAATGCAGGGGGTTTTCACTATCTAGAAGCTAAATAGTGGCGAAAAATCAGGAAAGGTACCGCTTGGTAAGTATTTTGGGATTGCCTAAATATTATCATTGAACCGCGAAGATTTATGCTTTGAAAACGAAGCAAAATGTGACTTGACCAAAAACCGCTAGTATAGTGTACTTCTTTTTATGTAAACGATGCTTTACATCATTTTGAGCTTACAAAAATGACATAAACCAATTTTGGAGGCAAAAATTTGAGCGCAGGCTTGCTGTAAGGTCTAACTCGGGTGCGCTTTGAAAATAAAACTCCGATATTTTTCTAGTACTCACTTCGCTAAGCATCTATAAGATAGGTGGAGCCCTATCGCTTCCAAACCAGTCAAAAAACTGCGAAATTACCCATAAAAACACATGCTTGGGAACGAAATACGCATGAAAGTATATTCGAAAAAAAGCAGATAAACGTTTCTTATAAAGGTATGACACAGTTGGACTGAAGCGACTGTTTTGAATTTTGATTATGTATATGCATAAAATACTTTGAAACCGACCAACCTGCAAGCCTGCTTTTTTCGAAATTTTTGATTCTTTCCTGAATAATCAAACAAAAACGGGATCCGTTCTGGCTACTGATGGTAGCCTATTAAACACACAATTGTACCAGATTTCAGATCATTTCGTTGAGAAGTAGATGAGTTACGGCAGATTTTAGGGTGGAATTATAGTTTTGGCCAGCACTGTATGTTCCCAACACGGTCCTACCTCAACAGCTTACCGTTTACTTGGGAAACATCCACTTGAGTGACTGGGTCTCGCTGGTGGAGATGAATACATGGAGAGACGTTTCTTACCCTATCTAAGGGCCGCATGCATTAACATCCCCGCCGGGGAGGGGATCGCAGCTTGAAAGAAAGCTTCATATACTGAAGCTCCAGATGTCTGAATTTCACGCTGTCTACCTATCCGTAAGTGCTCACACATCCTTCACTATGGACATCTTGAACGGGGGCAAGAGGCTGTACAAGCCGCGTTTTCCAGTTTTTTTGTTCGATCCCCTGATGATCCCTGGCTGCCCTACGTCTTTTAAATCATTTTTCTTTTTCCGAAGTCAATAAAAACATTTCAAAGTTGTGCTGTTTATCTAACCCAACAGTGCTTATCATGTTTCTGGTAAGAACAAGTGATGTTTCAAATTCTTGAAATTTGCGATGAACCACAAGTCGAAAGTTGGGGTTTATCGAAAAAATCGACATTTTGAAGGCTCATTTGTTCTTATCAGCAAATGCTTAGCACTGTTGGGATAGATAATCAGTACAACTTTGGAAGGTTTTCGTCAATTTTAAAGGAAGAAAAATGAATTTGAACAGAAGACTTCCGGCCGCGTTGGATCATCAGGGGATCATACAAAAAGCCGGAAAATGCGGCTTGTACAGCTTTTTGCTCCCGTTCAAGATATTCATAGTGAACATGGTGAGAGTACCTACGCATAGGTAGACAGCGTGAAATCCAAACTGGAGCTTCAGGATATGAAGCTTTTTTCTGAAGCTGATCCCCTCCCCGGCGGGGATGTTAATGCATGCGGCCCTAAGAAGTTTGGAAGAGGGGATGGAATTAGCATGACATAAGCAGAATTTCGAGTGCCATCTTGCTTATCAAGAAAGGTAAATAAAATCTGCTGCAGATTGCTGTACTCTCGCTAAAAGCTACCAATATGTATCCGATTATGAATTTGATTCATAAGATAGAGTTTGAAATGTCATTTCGAAGTCAGAAGTTGGAGCGAATGTCATTTTCAGCAGCATCGCGCTGAAATGGAGGATGAACTTGCAAGGCAAGCAGTGGAACGACAGCTAACCGATGCTATCAAATCCATAAGCAAACGACTAGCCCAACTCTACCTCGATGGTGATCGGCTTTTGAGAGATGCAGAAGGAGTACCGGCACGATATAGTGAATTTGCAGAAGAACTGGCTGATGAACGCAAGAAGGCCGCAGCTCTTTTGCAGCTTATACCAGAATCTCAACCTTTACTGGAAGTCCTCAAAACATCCTTTTCTACTGCTCAACGCATGATTCAAGTCTTGGAAAAACGTGCTAATAACTGGAATGCATTTATGATATTAAAAGTGGAAACGATATTTGAATTAAACAAATTGCGAAAGCCACTCGAAGAAGTGATGGCAAAACCTAGAAGATCTATCAATGACGTTAAGAAAGACTTCGATATAATTTCAGAGGAGAGAAGAAAGCCGAGTACTATGTACGACAAAGTTCGTAAACTTCAACAGCTTTCTGAACTACATGAACCCCTAGAGAGCCCTCGTGCAGATGTTCGATTCTTCGACGCTGGCGCACAACAAATGGAGAAGGAGTATGATGAAGCATTGAATGAGATGTCAGCTGAAATCGAGGACGAGAATCTGTTCTGTGACGCAATAGATCACTTCAACGCTGAGATGAAACCCATCTGCGATTTGCTATCCAGAGAGCCCAACCAAGATAATATTAGGCATGTCGAAAAGTTCCAACTTCCGACACTTCGAACAGAACTAGCGATGCTGAAGAAGAAGTACGACGAGGCTTATCATGCTCGTAGGTATGTGAATCCGGACTCCTCTCGCATCGCTGCCGTAGAAGATCGCATGAAGACCCTTGACTCGATGCTAGAAGATGTCAAGAAAGCCGAACAGAAGCGTATCATGGTTATGGTCACCGAACGATTGTCGCAACTCAAAACGATTCCTGTCCTCGAAGTTACCCAAGACTCGCTGGATGAGATGGAAAACCAACTTCAAAATCTTCCTAAAGACCAGGCTGATGAACTTCAAAGGCAAATCGAGAACCTACGAAATGCCAAAAAGCAGCACTTTAACTTTATTCATGGCACTGTCTTGACACACGTCGAAGATGCAACTACTTCCTTTCCAACACAAGACACCCCTCAACAAAATTATTCTCGAGTGAAGGTGCGTCCGAAAATAATTTCTTGGGCCGCCACTCAAATTTGGGGACAGCAATTGGAAAGTTATTCAATTGCATTTTAATTACGCAAGAACTTTTATATCAATCTAGTATCAGTTCGGGGGTATGAACGCTCCCCAGCCCTGATTCAAATTGCACCACAATGTGGAGACCTCATCGTATTTATATCATTCACTCTCTGACTAAAAGACGCGAGTAAGCTTTGCTTACGTCTGATCAACATTTTCGTGAATGAGTTCCAACGCGTTTTGGTTAATTACTATCAGAAATTCGTAAAAGAACGTGTGCAAGTCAGCATGGTTTAACGAGCTCAAACACGTTCTTCCATGGATTCTAATAGCAAATTTACCAAAACGCGTTAAATCTCATCCATGAACTCGTTAAAGGCAGCGTCCAGGTAGACCTGGACCTATGGGGATTTTACGTGGAAAGTACTTTTGGGGCCCTAATTAAGGCACTGCTCAAGCGGCAGCGCAGGTAGTGCTCTAACGGCTGAAATATTCCCCTCGAAACTGGTCCGCGCGATCGTATTCGCATGGATTCATGGCAGTTTCGCGCCAGGACACACGCTTTGCGCTGCGTCATGCGAAATACGATCGCGGGGGCCAGTTTTGGAGGGGATATCTCAGCCGTTAGAGCACTACGTGAGCTGTTGGGCAGTGACTTAGTTAGGGCCCCAAAATTACTATCCACGTGAGATCCCCATGTGTCCAGACTTGCCTGGACGCTGCCTTTAATGAAATGTACGCAAAGCGTGCTCGCGTCTCCTAATTAGAGAATGAATGTGCTTACTATAACCCCACTTAGAGACTTTGTTTGCGGAAAATTGTGACATTTTTTATCAGCATGGCAAATGATTTCCGTAGAACAAGTTCAAGCGAAATCTATGATTTTGGTTCTTGGGGTCCGCATCGTAGTGGAACCCATCACGCAACGCTGTTGCTTTGAAAAGGACTCTTTTATCCGTACAGCCGCAACAACGCAATTTCGAGAGGCGAAGTGTAAGAAACTAGGAATCCAGAAGACATTATGTTTCGGAAAAGTTCGCGGACATTTGCACAGTCGTGTAGATTTTCCGCTTAATATAGTGTGCTTGCACTGAAGGTGAACTGCGGTAAAATTTGCGCGTGAAGAAATAGCTGCGCCTGTGACTCCGGCCAATGCGCGCGCAAAAGGCTGGCATTACTTGCGTGGGGGTGTGGTGTGGAAGGAGACAATCCCCAGTTCTGTGCCTATCAGAAACTCGCCGGTGTCAAAGTGAAACCCCGGAGGACTACGGGGGTGGGCGGCTGGGGCAGATACATTACTCAATGCCACAAGTAAAAATCCGTGAAAGTCATTGAGACGGATGATACACTGCCTCCATTTTTCGCCGATTGTCGCCTTCGGCGTGCCCCCCCCCCCCCTGGCGTGGCTACATACTTGTTCACGCGCAAATTTTACGGCATTTCACCTACAGTGCAACCACACTATACTAAGCGGAAATTTACTCGACTGTAAGAAGTATGCACTGCCACTCGCCGGAGGCAGTCTCGCGCTGGTATCTGTGCAACAAATATGCACCCCTACATATTTGGTGCATACCCCATAACTTTCTCATAAGCTTTGGCCATAGGAAAAGCTACCCCCAAAATTGCTCCCACATGAACCATCAACGTGGCTGTCCGATCATTTTAATATGTCAACTTCGAATAAACGCCTTAAACTTGTTGGGATTTTAATGAGTTAAAACAATCGAAAGGCCGCCACGTTGATGGTTCATACGGAAAAAATACAGGGGGATGATGATATGTATCGGTGCGTTCATATTGCGTCGTCCGCGGAACCCTGTAGGGCACCGCCCTTTACCTCTGCTGGTGCTAGATACGCGGGCGTGCAGCCCATCGGCAACACATCCCTCTTCGCTCATGTGTGCACTCCCATAGAATTCTCGATATAAGGTTTCGAAAAACTGAGAAAACATTTGAACTTTCGAGCGAGCTCATTGCAGTGGCATCTTAGCGCTGCAGGACCCAACCCCTCTAAGCGCTCGCGCGCGTTGGGGTAGCGGCACGGCGGCGCAAGCAGTCACATGTTACATCATCGTTTGCATACTTTCTGAGTTATAATCTGCTGCTGTAATCGCATTACTACAGAACTCTTTGAAGCTTATAATGGACACGACGTGCCTTCCTGCGAGCAACTGTGGGCGTAGTTTGAAGGTGGAAGTGCAATTACGCGATGGGTAAGTGATGGTTATTTTTTTGCTTCGTGTCCCTTGTACACCCTCCTAAGATCAAAGTCACAAAGATTAAGAATAAGAATAGTGCAATATTGTTAGTCCTACACCAAGAAAAGGTGAAGTTACCATTCTCTTTGAACTAGGAAACCTGCAAATCATATGCACATGTAGGAGTTAGATGCCCTGTACAATTGCCTAAGGCCTAGGGCATGGTTCACGCAACTTCGCCTCGCGACGGGTGTTACGAGTCCAGTGTATGAACGATTCCTTTGGGGTAGAGGAACGAACGCCTCAATGTGGCACCGCCAGAGCGGACTAGTGGTCCTAACACGATATAGACTAGTGAGGCGAAAGGACCACCAGTCCGTGGAGGCGGTGCCAAATTGAGGTGTTCGTTCCTCTACTCATTCCTTTGCAATTCGGTTACAGTATCTTCCATCGCGACCAGTCTGACTAAACACCGCAGCCGAAATGCAAGGTGATCGACATGCAATGGAGTCGTAACGGTTTTCTTGTTGGGAGAATCGCGAGGCTACGAAATCGGAACTGTGCCCCAGGCCTAAAGCCTCGGGCAGAGTTCACGCGATTTCATCGTTGCGTTTCATCTCGTCTAGACAAAATGTAATAATATCAATGCATGCCGATCTGCTTGTATTTCGGTTGTGATAGTTAGTCACGATTAGTCGTGTCGGAAAACTGTCATAACCGAAATGCAAGAAGAACGGCATGCAATGAACTTGTAACATTTGTCTTGTAGCGATTGAATCGCGACGACCAAATCGCTCAATTTTGCCCGAGGTCTAATAGTAGGTATAGATGTGGTACTCATTCATCTTGTTATATCAGTTGTGCATTGTACATGATGAACTCCGAATAATTCACATGCGTTTAGTCCACCGGGAGAGGCCTTGATTCTGACATATTCCGAAGCAGGATACTCTGCAGCTAAGCAGAATTTTTGCGGATTCGAGTGGTGAGTGCTATTTTTTTCGCTTTCTTGTGGTAAAAGCGGGCCTTAGTTGATAGTTCAGGCAGAGTTACCGTGGGCTTAAAAATTCAAGTGTTGTTCCTATGAACAAATGCGCTGTAGATGACTGGTTTTCTAATTCAGCAATATATGTGGCAGGAGAAAAGATGCGTGAATGGTTCATGGGTTTTTAGAAGCTTTTGCAAAGAACATTCAAACGATAGGATTGTCGTAAAAATCACTCTTTGCGTGCCATACGCCAGACTTTCGCTTCCGCTGGATAGTGCCTTATTCAGGGCCCCTCACCAGTTTTTATGCGAAAAACCCATGCGCTTACAGTCGAGTAGATCTAGCGGTAATTATAGTGTGCTTGCACAAAAGATGAAATGATTGGCGCGTGGAGAAATATTGACTGTGACGCCGGCCAATTGCGCTCGCAAGATACCCGCGATACTGACGTGGCTACTTGTTCACGCGCAGATTTCACCGCATTTCACCTTCTGTGCAAGCACACTATATTTACCGCTAAATCTACTCGACTGTAGTTTTGCTTGGACACTGCCTTTATATGCAAACTTTTACAATGGCCTTGCATAGGAGGGACGGTCAAAGGCTACGATCGGCGCGAGTTTTTCGCGATACAATGCCGCAGCGACGTCAACAGTACAAGAACCATATCCCTGACCCCGTCTCGCATACGGTACCGAGTCATGCATTTGCCCCCCCCCCCGCCCTGTTTTGGCGCCGAAAACTCTAGCAGCAAAGAGCTTTTAGGGCACAAAGGTCGAGCGCGGCAAAGCGGCCGCCGTGCGTGGCGTACCACCTGACATGCAGCCATCCATATCTGTCATTCGTATTACATATTTCACTGCGAACTCGGCGGCAGAATGAAAGGACATTATCTTGCGCTACATTTGCTACCTACCTTTTCTAGGGAAGCCAAACCAACAATTCACGAAGATCATGTGGCCATCACGTTATGGTGCAATCCTGAAGTGGAATCCCATTCATGGCGCTGTGCGGCCCTTATCACCGTGTATAGTTGCGCGGACGTCGATGATGAAACTACTCTGCTGTATAGGGTCTGTTTGGCAACGCGTCTGAATCAACTTCCTCAGCAAAAAAACTGTTTCGCACAATAAATTCAGTCCTCACACATCTTCCACAACGAGTGTCGCTCGACGAGCATCATAACTCCTTGCGTTGAATTGGATAACGATGGTACACTGGGAATTCTCAATACTTCTGGGTACAACTTGCAATAGTAAATGATTACCTTCTTCCATACTGATCACTTCCAGTTGTTTCAGAGTAGCTGCTATGCCTGAATCGAACTTTACAAAACCATCGGAATTCAGCAATGCCTGCATCGCTTTCAAGAACAGCGATATGCGTGTTTTTGTGAATAAGGAGGTTGTTAGAGCTCATCTTGAGTATATCCAGATGTTTCTTTGTTCAGTATCTACTGATCAATTCGCGAAAATTTGCAACGTTGTTCACTCCGGAGCGCTCTGGATCTGCTGCTTCCAACGATAAGTCTGAATCTGGCGATGATTTCGACGTTCTGAGTTCGCGGTTAGTCCCCTTCCCTCCCCCTCCATTAGTGGTTGTTCGTAGGTACAAAAAGATTTTTTTCAGAGCCAGTGTGCCAGGACAGTCTTTGGAAGATGACAGCGGTCTCAATACCCTTCTTTCTTCTCAGGGTATGTTCCAAAGTTTGCGTTGAATACGTTTCAGCAATGCTGAGCAATCAGTTGGTATTCAAGACTTAGTTAGTCACAAAAGGATGCTGAACATACCCAAAGTCGTACTAGCACTACAGTTTGTCTCATACGCTGTCCCTTTGCAGGGCGTATCCGTTGCGCCAGAGCCTAGCATTATGTTGGCACAAGTGAAAACTTCAAGTACACCACAACCCCACCCTGCCCTCTAAATGCGCTAAATCCTCAAAAGACGCTTCAAAGGCCCACTAACCCCGCCCACTTCCATTGAGTGGGTGTCATTGGTGGGCTTTTGAAGCTCCTTTCTACTACAGTTGGAAGCTCGATATCCGAATATTCGAAAATTCGACTTTTGGAATGTACTTATATTCGAACATTCGCATTCGAATAATATAAAAATCGGAAATTGATTAATATTCATACATTCAGATTTTCTAAATATCAGTCATTTGATATTCATTCGCTAAAAAATTTCTCGAATCAGTTATTCAGTATTCGTCATTCGATGAAATTCCCGCTCGTTGCAACTATACTTTCCAGGACTTACCGATTGGGTCGGGTTTGTGCTAGTACTCGAAGGGCCTGCTACCTGAACGCCACTGACGGGGGGGGGGAGTGGGGGGGGAGGGTCCATTTTGCCAAGGCAATGCCTTCAAGACGGACTGTAGAAATTTTACGCAGTTCATCTTGAAAGGTTTTGGTGTTGCTTCTCAAGAAGTGTGCACTATGCTTTTTTCGATATCATTAGTGTTGACGTTCCTCTAAAGGTGGTTATGTTCCGTTTACAGCTGTCTGCCACGAAGAAGGAGTTTTTTTGCTCGAAGATATAAACATCAAAGATTTCATTACGTTTTTGGAAACTATCTATCCACCCTTTAATGACATCACAGGTGACGTAATCCTTTCTATACTAAACTTTTATCGTACATTTTATATTATCACAGGTGAAAACGTTGAAAGTGTTCTACCGACGGCTTTTCGCTTTGATGTTGAGCACATTGTGAAGAAATGTGAGATCTATCTGGGGTCTGAAGATGCTAGGAAATTGTTTGATCTTCTTCAACGACTCGTGTTTGCCACAACCTACAAGATGGATTCTCTTCAGGTTCGTTTTGATAAGATATATTTAGCGGTTAGAGTGTCAGCATTTCTGCGGTTTCAGGAAGATTCCTTGGCATCGCTCCAAAATGCTCGTGATGTTCTGTCATTGCTGGATGATCCACGTTTGCAAAACGTTTCTTCGGACTTACGTTCTCTACTGCTGGAAACGTTACTCGAACGTTTCAGATCCGAGGCATGGACAGTTACCGCTGAAGGTGTGTGATTTTAAGTCATTACTTACTGCTTATGCCTTGTCATATTCTGTTTCAGCTGATGGGGCATCCACGGCCTCGGATGATTTTTGAGGGCCGAGCAGGAGAAGAAAATCTGAATTGATCACATATCTGGGAATTCCTTGTCACGAAGCGATTATGCCTCTGATTTTTTTATACTTAGAAGTATATGATTTCGCATTTGTTAGTTTCTATATTTTCATGTCAGCAACTACTGTGAAGCTGGTAGTGTGTAGTATGTGTACCGTCTGCTTTTCTTGTATTCTGCATGCTTCTTTTTTGTATGGAAGACTGAACTAGAAATGAAGTCGTTTTAAAAGAATTCACTAGTCGAAGCCACCGTCCACCCTAAGTTGAGGGTGCTGAGCTTTTGGCAGCATACAACAGTAGGGCCTTCTATCAAGCCAAGGCATACATGTGAAAAGGCGATAATGTGTTCCTGCCCCCTTCACCCCAGGGCCGGAACCCAGCTGACCCCCCTTCACCCATGGCCGATGAGGAAGTGAAGGTGAGACTAAGACATTAACATTTTAAGCAAAATTATAAAACTATCCACATTATTAAAATTGAATTTAGTAATATTTTAATTCCTAATATCATTAATATGATCATCAAAAAGCTATTTGCAGGCTCACTGAGAAGTACATCGGAGATTTGCCGCCTATTTTTTTCACTTCTAGAGAACGATGAAAAAGCCTAGAGAAAAGTTTACGTGTGAAGCCTTTGTGTATATATGCCAATGAAGTTATTACTCACGTATTTGCTGAAATGATAAGTGAAATAATAAATGAACTTTGACGATCGGTGCGCAGTTAAATTGCATTCTTTTTAAGAGGTATAAATTTTATAAGCAGATGGCGGAATCCGTGTAAAGTCACTGAATGATTCCTTAAAGAGTCATTGTTCCAACTTTTAGTATCATTTCTAAACTCCGAAAGAGATCATAACATTTTCTAGAAAAGCAGGTGCAACAGAGGCACCTATTACATCGAAGAGTTGGTGTAATCAGGGTTAGACTTACTGTCAAAATGTTATAGCTACGAGGATCGTGGAGTTCTACAATCCGCCTACTTGGACGATGATGAAAGAGGAAAGCAGCCAGAGATGCATTTTTCCACCTTAAAGCACTATACAGGAGGAGAAGGACAATTGTATACGATCACTGCGTGATAATTCTGAAAAAAATTTTGTTTTCAATCGAAGAAGATTAATATAAAAGATCTTAGAAGGAGAACTCAGTCATAATTAGCCTATTCTAGTTTAGAAGTCTACTTTCCATCCGCTTTCAGAAAACATACAGCTTGCCAGGAAAAAGAGGGTTTTTCCTGTTAAATAGAAATAGTTCTAGTCATTTTTCCAAAATTGTAGAATTTTTCTATAAAAAATTGTAGATTTTTGATATGAGAAGATAAGAGAGTCTCTAGCCATACATTGAATTACTCTTGTTGAACGCTTCCAGAAAACATATAGCTTACCAAGAAAGAAAGGATTTTTCTGTATTGTGAAGGCGGTCGCAATTGTTTTTCTAAAATTAAGGAAATTTTTTTTATAAAAAATCATAACTCTACTATACGAAAAGCTAGAAGAGTGCTTTGCACTCTATTGGAATCCCCTCGTCGTCCGCTTTCAGGAAATATACAGTATGCCAGGAAAAAAGAGGATTTTCCTATCGGGTGAAAGGGGTCGCCGTCTACTTTCCGGAATTAAGCCAATTTTTAATTTTAAAAAATCATAACAAATTTATACGAGAAGCTGGGAGATTGATTAGGTGTTTATTGAATTCCTCTCGTCGTCCGCTTTCAGAAAATATATAGGTTGTAGGGAGAGGGATGCTAAACGTACGTGGTGAAAGGGGAGGGAACATGGTGTAATGGAAATCTTCCTTTCTGTACTCAAAAAGCGTCGTTTTAAGGAGCTAAAGGAACATGCCCATTATACCATGTTCCCTCCCCTTTCACCACGTACTTTTAGCATCCCTCTCCCTACAACCTATATATTTTCTGAAAGCGGACGACGAGAGGAATTCAATAAACACCTAACCAATCTCCCAGCTTCTCGTATAAATTTGTTATGATTTTTTAAAGTTAAAAATTGGGTTAATTCCGGAAAATAGACGGCGACCCCTTTCACCCGATAGGAAAATCCTCCTTTTTCCTGGCAAACTGTATATTTCCTGAAAGCGGACGACGAGGGGATTCCAATAGAGTGCAAAGCACTCTTCTAGCTTTTCGTATAGTAAAGTTATGATTTTTTATAAAAAAAATTTCCTTAATTTTAGAAAAACAATTGCGACCACCTTCACAATACAGGAAAATCCTTTCTTCCTTGGTAAGCTATATGTTTTCTGGAAGCTTTAAACAAGAGTAATTCAATGTATGGCTAGAGACTCTCTTATCTTCTCATATCGAAAATCTACAATTTTTTAATAGAAAAATTCTACAATTTTGGAAAAATGACTAAAACTATTTCTATTTAGCAGGAAAAGTTTTCTGAAAGCGGATGGAAAGTAGACTTCTAAACTAGAATAATTCTAATTATGACTGAGTTCTCCTTCTAAGATCTTTTATATTTCTCAATCTTCTTCGATGGAAAACAAAATTTTTTTCAGAATAATCACGCAGTGATCATATACGATTGTCCTTCTCCTCTTGCATAGTGCTCCAAGGTGAATGCATCTCTGGCTGCTTCATCCCTATCATCGTCCAAGTAGGCGGATTGTAGAACTCCACGATCCTCGTAGCTATAACATTTTGACAGTAAGTCTAACCCTGATTACACCAACTCTTCGATGTAATAGGTGCCTCTGTTGCACCTGCTTCTCTAGAAAATGTTACGATCTCTTTCGGAGTTTAAAAATAATATTAAAAGTTGGAACAATGACTCTTTAAGGAATCATTCAATGACTTTACACGGATTCCGCCATCTGCTTAGAAAATTTATACCTCTTAAAAAAATGCAATTTAACTGCGCACCGATCATCAAAGTTCATTTATTATTTCACTTATTATTTCAGCAAATACGTGAGTAATAACTTCATTGGCGTATATACACAAAGGCTTCACACGTAAATTTTTCTCCAGGCTTTTTCATCGTTCTCTAGAAGTGGACAATAGGCGGCAAATTTCCGATGTACTTCTCAGTGAGCCTGCAAGTAAGTTTTGACAATCATAATAATAATATTCAGAATCAACATGTCACTAAATTTGATTTTAATGATGCCGATAGTTTTATAATTTTGCTTAAAATGTTGATTTCTTAGTCTCACTTCTTCCAGTTTTTCTTCTTCGAATTTCAGCGGATAAAACCCAATAATCGACTTTAACCCGGTTTGGCTACAATTTCACTTGATGCATGTGAATGAAAAGAACATGAGAAGCAATGATGACGAACATTGCCCCCCCCCTCCCCGGTCGACGCATCTCCACAGCCGCGGCCGCTCCCCCCCCCCCCCCTCCCCCCCCCCCCAGCGGCCCTCATACCCCCTTCACCCTGGAGAGGCGGGACCCCTATGACCCCCTTCACCCTGGAAAGGCCATGTTCCCCCTTTGCACACGTATGAGCCAAGGCCCAAGTCGCGGCGCAACATGCCGCTAAGTGAGAACGCTTCGGAATGAAGATGCACGAGGACCTCCATCCCTGCCCGCCCATTTGTGCGCGCTCATCCAATCACCGTGGAAAGCCGGCCTGTGGGCTCTCCGGAATGGGGATTTTCGGAGTTTTCGCGGTTTCTCGACTTCATATTTGGAATCAGGGACACGAGAAGGCCCTGAAACGACAAAAACCTGGAAGTCGAGAATCTGGGTGGACGGTGCCTTTAAAATAACCAGATAAGATTAATCAACCATAAGTCGTGGAGCGATTCACAAGGAGAGATTCGATAGTCTTGTTGTTGGTTCCTTGACTTTCAAAAAACCATTCATAACGAACTGGGAATTATGGTAGTAGGCGAGTTCAGATGAGCAAATTCGAAAAGCTAGTGATGGTAGGTTACTACGTGTATGGTAGCTGCCAAGTGCATTGAAATTTTGTTAGTATGGTGGGCAAACATCTCTGATCCCTCAGGCAATAAAGAGGAGACGAAAATTTATTAGGATGTATGTTGGGTCAGTGTCATCACAGAAGCTTTTGCTCAGGTCTTGATAAGGTTTCCTGTCCAGAAAAGTGCACTGAAGACTGGCCAGCGTCTTCTCTTTGCTTTCAAGGCTGCACTCCTTTCTTGCATACGTTGCTGAACTGCTGTATTTACTACATGACGAATATCATCCCTAGAATTTTCCAGCTGTAAACCAGTGCTCTATGTGCGCATGATTGCGAATTAAAGGTTTTTCTGTTGTTAGAAACCAATGTTTCTATCTGATCGACAAAGGCGGAAAGGACTTTTGATATTGTATCGATGATTTGCCACCAACTTGGTGATCTCCCATATCACTGACAGCAATCTGCCCAACCTATTTCGTACAACCGTTTGGTTGCCATCGCTGTCTTCGTAATTGCCTTTCTCTTTTGAAGGAAGAGCTAGCACTAATGTTTGCTGTATCACTTGCTTGCACATCATATATTAGTGCATTTGCTCACCCACTGCTCTTTCCTATCTTCTCACTTCGGATATAATTTCCAAACTATTGATTTACACGATTTTTGAGCTGTTGGATAGCGGAAAAAAAAAGAGTTGATATCTCAATCCGCATCACTTTGACAAGTGTACTGAATATCCCTATGCTTTGATCCATCGTAATTGAAGATAATCATTTCAAGATGAACTGGATCCAGCCGAATGTGATGTCAACAACTGTTGCTTCTTAAGAGATCCATTAAAAACGAAAACAATTAAGCAAATTTGGATTCTGATCGATTAACAGAGAATAATGTCACTAGAAGAACCAGTTAGCTTGATATGAGCAGATTCTAAAATTTTGCATGGAAGACCTCTATTTATTTCCACATTTTTAGATTCTGAAAACTCGTACATTTTTTCGATTCGTCACCAAGCTTTGAAGAACACGCCTAAAAGGCTCAAGTGTCATTCAATTAAGACTTCCTTCCTTTTTTTGATAATTCTCCTTCCTAATCCATAAAATGTTTCCGTCGTCACCGCCAAGCTTCTTCAAGCAGTCTCACCGTAATGCCGAAAATCCGTCAATTTTAGAAAATTGTATCCTAGCATTTTGAAAGGGCAAAGGTAGATGTATAAAGAATAAAACTAATGCTAGATTTTAGTTACCTTTGATTAGCTTGATTGAACCATCCAAGCTTTATTAGAAAAAAACTTGTTTCAATGCTAATTCCCGGAGCAGATCAAACTTGTCCTGCTCCAAAAATTCCAAAAAGCTGATTTTTCGAAGCAAATCAAAATTATCCTGAACAAATGACTACCATGAAGATTAAGCTCTGACTCGCCAAAATTTCGCAGCCTCGTTTTTTTTGCAGCAGTCTCGTAATTTTACCAAACAACGATAATACGGATTTATGAATCTTCGTACCAGATCGAGAAGAGGCTCCTGTAGCTCAAATTCTGCTCTATTTGTTGGGTGCTTACTCCTCTCTAGATGTCTAGAATGAAATTCTCGAAACTATCGCAATTTTTGGCACGAAAAATTTGTGAAGAACTTAGGCAATTATCTGGGAGCATTTGAAAAATTTTTTTTGACCATAGGATGGGACGAAAAATTGCAGTGAAGACGTATTTGATAGCTTTCACGATATTTCATAGTCGTTCAAGAATAAGGACAAAACTATCGGAATCAATTAACAAAGCCTGATTTCACCATTACCAATTGTCAAAACAAACTCAGACTAAGTCAGAATTAGTCTTTGTGCAGAAATTTTCGCGTTCACCATGTACTACTTTTGCAGCGGGGGTATATGTCAAGATGAATGATAGCTGGTACCAGTAGCGCGCGGGATCATGAACTGGCAATAACGTGTTCGCTCGAAGCTCCGCCCTACTGCGGCGGACGAGTTTCTCGGACTTTACCGTCAAGTAAAATTAACTTTTGATAGTGAGATATAAGCTTGTTGCAAGCTGAGGTGAAGCTCGACTATTTAAAGAGTCTTGTTTTGATTTTTTGTTTCTTTTTGGCAATCAATACACAGTTGATGTGTTGGTCGTGAAATTCGAGAGCTTTGCTGATTTACCTATGAATGACCGAGTGACTCCTGGATATCCAACTTTTAAGTGTGAAATCAATCTAGAACACCTCGGGCATGATTGTCTGAGTGACCTCGCATCTTACGACTAGTTCACGCGCAATTTCGATTGAGTTACAGATCGATTTATATTGAGGATAGCAGTTTTTGGAAGCAAAATAAAAGAAGTTTGTTATTAGAGGCAGATTCGAAAATAAGTGAGTGCAGTATGATTTTTCTGAAATCTGGGAAAATTTATATGATACTAGCTGGCAAACCCGGCTCCGCCCGGCCCTGTCATTATTATATTCGTAATCAGCATGCTCGATTACCCCCCTGTGCCAACTCCCAGCCCCATAGCTCAAATTTTGCAAAAAATCGATAAAATCGATATCGATCGATAACGAAAAGTAGCCTATGACACGCTCCCTGCCCCGAAGTATATGTGTGCCAAGTTTGGTCCAAATCGGTTTAGAAATAAAAATTTCTATTCCGCACATACGTACAGACATACAGACAGACAGACATACAGACATTCAGCTTTATATATAAGATGATCGCATATTTGCAAAACGAGTTAGTTTGCTTGAAACATAATTCGCCTATAATGCTTGCTTTGAATTCTCGTCGCAATGAAATCTGTTTTCTAGCTATCATTAGGGTTTTAAAACTTACTTTTCCGATAAAAGAGATAATGGTGTTGGTCATTTCAGCAATAATAAAATTATAGTATTTCTCGATAAGCTGACATCTTTTTGAACTAAACTTGAGAAGGCACAATCATACTATATATAAAGCGCAAGCACCCCCATCTGACGTCATCGCTCGCGCCAGGGGTGTAGACAACCGACCATCGTTCTGTGCCGGTGCGAGCGTACCGAGCTGATGACTCACAATGGTAGTGATGCCCCTGTCTTAGACGAAGTTGATCAAGTAGTATGACCCAAAAAGTGCAATCACAATGTTGATCAAGTGGCATAACCCAAGAAGTCACTAGACAAGCTAACTTTCGTATAGTTCGAATCGTTTCTATGTGAGCAACTCAATTTCGGCTGTATTCGAACAGTTTGGTTCACAATTTCTCTTAAATCCTTATAGTCCTTCAATATTACTACAATAGATTGCAAAAAATGCAAAACTCCATAAACCAGAGAGCTACACATTCTTTTGTTCCACAATAACTTTGCCAGAAACACCTTTTTATAATGATTTCCAAATATTCAAGGAACCTCTGATGGGTTCCCACAGGTAACTGCATCGAGTCCGTTTTAATCCTTCAAGCAAAAACTCTTTTAAAATTTTCATCAATGATTATTTTTCATTCCCAACAAGTGCCGCCGAAGTTATTATTAGCAGATCTATTTTGTCTTACTTCACATTTCAAGCTTCTCTATCCCTGAAGATGACCTGAAAATTGAATCGAATTTGGAGCACCTATAGATGAATTGCAAGGATGCTGGACTTGGAAAGTCTTTATGAAATGCAAACGAAAGATTTAACTGTAAAATTTTTTGAAATGAAAGACGAATTGTAACGCTTCCAAGAAAAAATATTTTGTCAAGAAAAAGAGGTAGTGTTTGAGTTTGAAAAATTTTAGATTTAGAATGTTGGCTAAATATTCTCAAGGATTCAACTTAAATTTTCTTGCTATTTTGATTTCGTAAAGAGATGAGTAGTCTCAGAACTTTTGGGGGAGGGGGAAGGTGGAGGTTGTTGTTTGGAGGCCGCATGCACTAACATTGCCGCGGGGAGGGGATCGCAGCCTCAAAGAAAGCTTCATATTTCGAGATTCCACATACTTGGCTTTCACGTTGTACCTATCCTTAAGTATTCCTACTACCCTTCACTATGAACATGTTGAAGAGGAGCGAGAAGCTGTACGAACCGCATTTTCCAGCTTTTGTATGATCCTGATGATCCCTGGCGCTTCTCTTAAAAATCATTTTTCTTTCTCCGAAGTTAACGAAAAACTTCCAGAGTTGTGCAGATTATCTAACCCAACAATGCTAAGCATGTTGCTGATAAGAACAAATGATGTTTTGAAGTCATGAAATTGTCGATGATCCATACAGGTCGAAATTTGGGGTTTACCGAAAAATTCGATTTTTCAAAAATTCTTTTGTTCTCATCAGCAACATGCTTAGCACTGTTGTGCTAGATGTTCAGTACAACTTTGGAAGGTTTTCGTTAACTTCGGAGAATGAAAAATGACTTTAAAGAAAAGCGCCGGGGATCATCAGGGATCATACAAAAGCTGGAAAATGCGATTCGTACACCTTCTCGCTCCTGTTCAAAATGTTCATAGTGAATGATAGTAGGAATACTTACAAATAGGTAGACAGCGTAAAATCCAGATATCTGGAGCTTTAGAATATGAAGCTTTCCTCAAGCTGCAATACCCTCCCCAGCGGGAATGTTAGTGCATGGGGCCCCAAGGCAGCTTGGGGGGGGGGGAGGACTCAGTGTAGAAAACATGGCCCCGGGAACAGTTGAGAAGGGGAGGCAAATCCTCAAAGAGCTCAGATAGCAAAACGCTCTGCAAAATTCGAGTATCTCAAAGCAAAGGACGGAGCGGCGTGGTAGAAGAAGCTGGGAGAGAGCAGTCATAATAGGTTCGCTACGAATCTTTAAAAGTTCCAAGTTTTAGTCACATATACTTCACACACACAGCCAGTCCAAAGCGCCGCGAAGCGGCGCTTTGGACTGGTAAAGCATATTCAATACGGTAACAGATGTGAATAGAGAAAAACACCTTTCCAAGCATTTTCGAAACAATTTCCTCATACCTGCCATGGGGAACCATTTTGGACAAGCCTACCAAGAACAAATAATTGAAATACATCAGAAAGAGCCTGCAAACTAATTTTATAATGAAAAATGATCTGAAAACTGATTTTCAATTTAACTGAAATTTTGAAATCCACTGTTATCCAAATTGCAACCAACTGAAGGAGCATGAACGAAGTATTAGAGAGTTTTGCAATAGCTGCAACGCATTCCTAGGCTAATTAACAAGGGGGCGGAGCGATCAGCGCCCGCGTACAGTACCCAGCTGGCGGCTGGCACATGCTATCGTTCATCTTGACCGCCACCCTTGCAGCGTCGTCAAGTTTGATCGTGATGTCATGCGTCAATGAAGAAAAATACTTTTTTCAACACAGTCATGGTCCTAGAGGTGGGTACAATACTTTAGTACTATTTTGCAAAGTTCATGACTGCCTAGCTAAGACTTGCATTTTGTTTAGGTAGGTGAAAAACTTTCATTTATCAGCAAAACAAAGGACACTCTGATTCATGCAGATAGACCTCTACTAATCTACAAAACTATGATTATGAATAGTTGTGCTACAAATTTTTCAGTTCAAATTGGGGTCAAATCTTTATTGTATGACCAATTTGTACATCCTCATCTTTAAAAGTCCGAAAGCTTTTCCTTCGATAACAAAACAATGCGTATAGCTGGGTAAGGCCGGATAAGCGCATAAATGCTTTGTAAAATACTTTGATGAGTCTTATAAAGAATGGATAGATTATATCTACTTACTGCTTTATTTTGGCACTAAAACTGCGCAATGCATACTATCTACATTGTCTTCAATGTTACTCCGATAAGAGTTAAAAGGCGTAAATATTAGGTTGGCTAATAAATAAGTTCGTTTTGATATGCAAATCAAAACTTCATAACAATTCATGTAACAGCTATTCAGCTAAGATTTTTTCTTGAGAAGATAGCCTCCAGCCTCTACTCTTGAATAACAAATAGTCAAGATTTTCTGTTACCAAAAATGACAGTTATAACCATATATGGTCAGGCTTCTAAAAAATCCCTTTTTCAACTTTCTAGCTTTCGTTCTCAGCCTGTAGTGAGTACAAAAGCGAGTAATTTGGTGGCTGAATACATACAACCTCTGGCTAGGTGGCGAACTACATTAGAGATTGCGACCTGCTGTTTCTGAATTTCTGCAGTCAAAATTGTAAAAATTTCCAGGCATTTGCGCGTGAAGATCAAATTTTGGGCATTCCAGTTAACTCGTATCTGGCCATCTATGGCCATGCAGATAGTTGGAAATTCATAAATTTGTTGTATGGGTAGCGAATCTATACTTTACACCCAACTTCAGTTCGTTTTTCGGAACGTGATTTTTCGAATTTTTGATGAAAAAATCTGACTAATTTTCTTTCCTTCACCATTTCATTATTGGAAAAATTATTTTTGGGAAAAAAGAGTCAACCATCCAATTCTCTTTGATTTGCTCTCTTCAGTGGTGCCATATATACATACAAAAACTGATTTGTGACAATTTTACAAACCGCTAAAAACGACCGAATTTATTTTTTAGCCAACCTAATATATTAGGTTGTCCGGAAATTAATGCCCGTTTTGAATTTCAACCGCAATAAGTCATACACTTCTCATTTCTAAATAGGTTGCAAAGCACCATCCGATAAAGCAAAGCAAGCTCTACAAGATGGCAATCTTGCTTTAGCGATAGCTCTGACCTTCCTCCAATTTCGAGCCAAAAACTAAAAAGACTCAGCAGCCCAAAAAATCGAAAAAATCGTAACTCAGTTCATAAAAATCCTACAAAATTTTTTACTTTTTCACGTAAACACTATCCACATAAAACATCTATATGCGCCGTTGCCGCATTTTTTCTCTGTTGGAAATCAAGAAAACGGAAATTTTCATGCATCCGCCAAAGTGATGCTGTGCCGTTCCCATATAAGTAGTTGTATAGTACAAACCTGTAGAAGTATAAACGTAAATTCTCAGCTCTCTACAAGCTTTAGTTCTCGAGCTATTTGAATTTTAGCTTGGACCGCCTACTTAGGGAAAGCTATATTCGGTATTTCTCGAGAACTAAAGCTTGAAGAGAGTTGAAAATTTGAGTTTGTACCTCTACGGGGCTTGTGGTGTACAACTACCTATGCGGGGATGACTCAGCATCACTTTGGCAAATGCACGAAAATTTTCATTCCCTTGGTTTCTAACAGAGAAAAAAATGCGGCAAAGGCGTTTATAGATGTTTAATGTGGATAGTGTCTACGTGAGCAAGTGAGAATTTTTGCAGGTTTTTTATGAACTGAATTACGATTTTTTTTCGATTTTTCAGGCTGCTGAGTCTTTTTAGTTTTTGGCTCGGAACTCGAGGTAGGTGAGAGCTGTTGCAAAAGCAAGATTGCCATTTTATTTTTCCCTTTTTGGAGTTCTCCGCTTCTGGTCAAGCAGCTCCTGCTATTTCTTCAGCATACCTGGAAGAATTTTGTGGGCATGTGTGGTTTTATGGGTTTGTGATCTCCAAATTATTCGTTTGTGAGCTCAAGTAAATGGAAAATGGTGTCCAAAAATTGATTTGTATTATTTTTTCCGCTGCCTGCAAAACCGCTATTTTATTGCGAGCTCTTTGTGAGCTAAATTCTTAAATATCGGAAAGGCATATCTTCTATACAGTGCTGGACATAATTATACAGCCACTCTAGAAATCGTCGTAATTTTTGTTCTTGTCAATGAATCTGTCTGAAACTTTGCTGTATTGTGCGCATGTCAACCTACCATAACCCTCAAAACGGCTTCCAGTCTTGTTGAGTTTGAACGGAGAAAAACGAAGAAAGTCGAAAAAGCCCTCTTTGAAAGTTGGACAAAATTATACAGCCACCTGGTTTTTCTAATCACTATCGCATTCGTTGGCTCTCAAATTTTTTTGTACAATTACATCCCAAAATATGAAACATTTGCGACACTTACGGCCTGTCTTCCTACTCAAATAGAAGCAATAACTGCATTTCTTGCTTTTAAAAGCATTAAAAGTCAATCTCCTTCAACAAACAACTGCTTTAAAGAGTTTTCAAGCTCTTGTTCATTCCATATGATAATCATGGAAGCTACTGACCCTTCTGGATAGATGAGGTGAAGAGCGCTTTCGTAAACTCTGCGTAATCGCTGATTTTGACGGACAGACTCCAACCTCAACATAGGCTTGGGACGCTTTTAAACCACAAAACTCAGTTTGCAATGTCCACAAAGTGCTGAACTTGATTTATCACATTGTATACATGGGGATACAGCTTTCGCAACAACTTTCAGATTTTTCCTAATGATGCGGTAGCGATTTAGACCTGGAATACTTTCCACAAAAATTCCCTGCGAGCGGAAATTCGACATAATCCTAGATCTCCTTATTTCCGTCTGTGTTTCATGTCATATTTTACCCGATGAATGAGATTAGCTAAGATTTAGAAGTTTTAAGCGTCTCCGGTTTTATCTCGTGATCTGAGTTGGCTTTGATTGTACAGGGTGCTCCACTCAACATTCAGTGAATGTCAACTGCGGCTGAATCAGACTGCTCAGTCCCGAAATTTCTTCCCAGTCATGCACACGAGTTCACTGTTGTATGCAGGGCTCGGCACGAGGTGGTTTACAAGCAAGCTGGGTATCGTTTTTGGGATGAAAAGCAAAGGGGGTTTCGTTTTTGTGACCGAAGACACACGCAAAATTGGCGATTTGGCGACTTTTTTTTTAGTCGACGTTTCGTTTTTTGGAGGATTTTTAGGGAAAATGGTGGGGGGTCAAAGGGGACTTCGTAAAAATACCCAAAAGTCAAGGGGGACTTCTTTTTTTTTTCGCATTTTCATCTAGCCACCTCGTGCCGAGCCCTGGTTGTATGGCTGTCGTAATGGCTACATTACAGTATTTTCTGTTGCTTAAAAATCGAGCTTTGTGGTTTAAAAGCGTTCCAAGCCTATGTTGAGGTTGGAGTCTGTCCGTCAAAATCAGCGATTACGCAGAGTTTACGAAAGCGCTCTTCACCTCATCTATCCAGAAGGGTCAGTAGATTCCATGATTATCATTTGGAATGAACAAGAGCTTGAAAACTCTTTAAAGCAGTTGTTTGTTGAAGGAGATTGACTTTTAATGCTTTTAAAAGCAAGAAATGAGCGATTGCTTCTATTTGAGTAGGAAGACAGGCCGTAAGTGTCGCAAATGTTTCATATTTTGGGATGTAATTGTACAAAAAAAATTTGAGAGTCAACGAATGCGATAGTGATTAGAAAAACCAGGTGGCTGTATAATTTTGTCCAACTTTCAAAGAGGGCTTTTTCGACTTTCTTCGTTTTTCTCCGTTCAAACTCAACAAGACTGGAAGCCGTTTTGAGGGTTATGGTAGGTTGACATGCGCACAATACAGCAAAGTTTCAGACAGATTCATTGACAAGAACAAAAATTACGACGATTTCTAGAGTGGCTGTATAATTATGTCCAGCACTGTATAAAGCTGAATGTCTGTTTGTCTGTATGTATGTCTGTCTGTCTGTCTGTGTGTACGTATGTTCCGAATAGAAAATTCCATTTCTGAACCGATCCGGACCAAAATTGGCACACATACACTTCGGGCCCCGGTGGGTGTCATAGGCTACTTTTCGTATCGATCGATATCGATTTTATCGATTTTTTGCAAAATTTGAGCTACGAGGCTGGGAATTGGCACAGGGGGTAATCGAATTACATCCCTCTGCCAAATTCCAGCCCCCTAGCTCAAATTTTGCAAAAAAATCGATAAAATCGACATCGATCGATAACGAAAAGTGGACTGTGACACCGGCCGGGGCCCGAAGTGTATGTGTGCCAAGTTTGGTCCGGATCGGTTGAGAAATGGAGTTTTCTATTCGGAACATACGGCGGAGCCGGGTAAGCCAGCTAGTATTAGATAATTCCGGAAGCAATTTCTTTTTCAGAGGGGCGCCAAATTTTGAAGAATGGTTACGAAATCATTGAGCATAGTCAATGAGCTTTCAATTACCGACATCTGCCACCCATCCTTTTTGAGCTGGTTAAGTTCCACAACTTTTCTAAACTTTTATATCAACTCTCCGAAGAAGTAAAAGTAACGTATAAGCTCCTGCAAGACGAAGGCGGTCGGCTCGATGTGCAACGCGGCTGCGACACTGCTGCGTCACAGCCGCGTCACAGCCGCGTCACAGCCACGTCGCACATCGAACCGACCGCCTTCGTCCTGCAGGAGCTTATATCTATGATGCAAACCGTACGGGACGCAAAATTATTTCCTTATTTCCACAGCTTGTCGTACTTTTCTGATAGAATTTCAACTGATGCTACCAATTTCATATTTGGTCAGCTAAATCGTACATCAAAGGAAGGGTAGCTCGGGTACTAGT